AGATGAGAAGAATAAATCAAAAAGAAAATAAACAAATTTTAAGGGTCTCACTAATGCTGCTTATGATGAAAGAAAAAGAAAACCTATTCATACAATATACACACTTTCTTAAGAAATACATTTCAGAAATTAGTGTTGCTGGCCCATCTAATACGGTAAGTTCTTTAATCTCTCGTACACCTCTTCATCAGATATCTTCCCTTTATTTGTCAATAAGTCTTCATAAGATGAGTCTTACACTAACTCATCTTTACCTATATAAAGATTAGCCTCATCCACACATGCCTTAGAGAGGACTATCCCAGGTACTTTATAGTCAAACAATTCTTCATCTATTCATATGTTTTATTTATAAAGTACTCCATTGGAAATTTAAATTCTATTATTTGTATTAATATTTTAGTTCATTCTGAACATACAAATATACTATAAAAAACCAACTAAACACAAAAAGAGTGCAAATATGTGGCTAATAAACAAAATTCTAAATATGTACTTTTTCTGTAACTGTACGGGCATTATCTGCTACATCCCTCTGGCTATAAGTATCTGAAGGATTGCTTTGACAAGAACCTGCAGCTTTTGTGAGATCAATACATGCTGTACCCAGATCCTGTACACTACTTTTAATTCTATTAGCAACCTGAAAGAATAAAGAATATGAAATTTTAGTAAGAGATTTCAAAATATGTAAAAAAAAAAAAAAAAAGCAGTGTCATATAAATTAATTTTTTTTTTTTTTTTTTTTTTTTTTTTTTTTTTTTTTTTTTTTTTTTTTTTTTTTTTTTTTTTTTTTTTTTTTTTTTTTTTTTTTTTTTGTTTTTTTTTTTTTTTTTTTTTTTTTTTTTTTTTTTTGTTTCATAATCCACCACAAGACTAATTTAGAATTTACAACTAAATACAGTATAAAGCCCCAGATTCAGATGTTCAATATCCTGACCTCTAGATCACCAGTCAAATAAGTAAACAAATATATGAATAAAAAAATAAAAAAAAAAAAAAAAAACCTCCTCTTTGTCTAAAAAACAAAGGAATAGAGAATGTAACACTCAAAAAGCAAGAGCACCTCAGCATATCATTTTTTAGCACCTGCTGACTAGGTAGTTTCAGGGTGTGCAACGACAATGAATTGACTGACATATTGATATTGGCTAGCATCACACATGCACTTGAGTGGTTATGAAAGGCTTATTATTTTTCTGTCTGCCCTAAAAAAAGTCTGCATGCCATTTTATTAGATTTAAATTGACGATCTAATACCTGCAAATTTTCAAAATCTGGAATTATCGAAGTCCTGAGGATTACAGATCTCGGATTTAATGCTGTATTTAATTCCTTTACAAATTTCAAAATCTCAAAAGAAGCATCTATAAAATAATAACTCTACCCACAAATTTTTTCATTAATTAAAACATAACAACTAATTTTATCAGGAGAATCTCATACCCCCATATAAGAACTAATTTTTAACTGAAATAACACTCTGACAGTTTGATAATGAATACTTAGTAAATATTTCTAAAAACTAAGTTAATGATTAAAAAAAAAATTCTTATAAGGTTTATTTCTATCATAAAATGTTCACAGTAAAAGACTTAACCATAGGAATTGAAACAGCTATAACTAAACAGATAATGAACTAGGAAATACAGAAATATTTTGTCGATTTCATAACTTCTAGCATTACTGATCTGCACTCAATGTTCATTGCACAAAAATTTTAGAGTTCTTTTTTCAAAACTACAGACATAAGAAAATTACATCAAGATTAGATGTGGAAGCAACAGCTCCTCGTGTATCTGATGCGATATTGGCAAACTCATGTGCTAGTCTGGCAGCAAGTGGTCCTAGTTGAGCAGCATCAGCACCTGATTTAGCAATCTGTTAAAAAAATTAAATAAATGACAAATAGATTTTAATAAAATTCATAGAAACTTCAGCTTTCACAATATGCATGACAAAATAATTTACCATTTCCTGAGCAAGCCGAGCAATTTCTTTGGCATGGTTGACCATTCGAGTTTGATAATCCACAAAAGAACTTTCTGGAACATTATTCATTTGATGTTCATCAACCTTTAAAAAGAATAGAATGATTATGAAATACAGCTCAAATTTTGCAATATTTCTTCAGTTTATTAAGAAATGTTAAAGAAACTGTACACCTACTTTTATAATAGATTTATTTATTGTTTCAACAAGACCAGTAACTACACCAGCTTCAGTAGCTGCAGCTTCCAATGTCTGCAGTAAATCTTGCAAAGCATCTTTCATACCTTCTGCTGACTCATCTATTTCACAATACACATGAGTGGCCTAAAATATATGTTTTAAAACTAATTTAAATAAATAATAATAAACAAAACAGTGAAGATTTTTTTTCAAAAATGAGGAGGAACAAAAATATGAGAAAAGAAAATTATTACTATTATTATCTTAAATTAAAGCAATTTACTTTAGGATTTCCTCCAGCTTCTTTTGAGGCATAAATCAATTGTAATGCACATTCAGCAACTGTTTTTGTTTGATCCAATAATGCCATCTGCTGTTTTGAATTCACAGTTTTTGAAGCACTGCCAATAGCACTTTGAACAAGTGGTTCAAAGAAAGATGTCATTTGAGTGACCTAGAATTTAAAATAATTTTTACTGTGCATTTTCTGGTCCATTTAAAAATAGTCATTTTTGGTGTTTGTTCGAAATGATTTATTTTACAACCACTGAAACAAGATATCCTGAAACCTGTAAAAATCTTGAATTTATAAACTATAAAGTACACAGCTAGTAATTCATTTATAGAAATTTAAAAGGCAGATACTTTCTGAAATGAATGAAATTCTGGGAACAAAAAAGATCTGTTTAAGCACAATAGCATTAGAAATTCTAAAGGTTTCCAATTTTTTTTTTTTTTTTTTTTTTTTTTTTTTTTTACGGTGGTAGTAAGAAGCAAATAAGAAACACATTCATATTCCATTAAAACTGAATTTCAAATTTATTAAAGCATCTGTATATGAAAGAAAAACCTTTATAAAAGAAAGGTATTAGTTAAATAGTTACTGATAACTAGATATGAGAGTGAAAATAAATAATGCTAGAAACAAAGAGTTATGAGGAGGAAAAATGTGGGCAATAAATATTAAAATATAAAACTATAATAAAAAATTGTCACAGCTAAAGTTAAGATAATAATGACTTTCGCAGCAAACAGATAATATATAAAGCAATTAACTCATATTCCCTGAACATTTATGAAGGAAATTTAACACAGAAAAGATAATCTTGCTTTTATTTTGATCACATACATGCATAAAAAAGAGAATTTGAATGAAAATTATAATTTCATCTTAATAAAAAGTGAAAGCTTGACAGTAATACGAAATCAAACTCAAGCTAAACTATATCACAGTTTCATAACAGCTAAAATAGGTATCTAGTATATACATAGCTTAACAAATAATATCTGTTCATTACATATCAACTAGAAATTTGAAGATTTTGAAAGATTTTAAGCTCTAAATGTTATATATGTAATTTAATTATTTCTTAATCTCTTAACTCAATTGATTTAAAGATAGCAGTAAGTTTTACCAGTGATCAATGATTAAAGACCAAGACTGACAACATTTACTACTAAATGATATAGAAAAAGCAACACCAAAACTAAGTATTAACAGCTGTGAAATTATTTTTTTCACTCATAAGAAATTGCTATTCTAAGATTTAAAATGATGAGAATTTTCAGTTTGCCACTCACGTGAAATAAAATTATTGCATTCTTCCAAGAAATGAGTACTTTACCATCCACCCAAATTTTCCTAAATAGATATGAATAACACTTTTTTAAAAGCAGAAATTATAATATTTATTAAAAATCCCATTATTTAAAAGCTTCCTTCATCGATGGTAAAACTGATAAGTGCCGACTTAGATGTCCTTCTTTCTCATATATTATGTTTCTTTAAATTTTAAATGCATCAACTCCAATTAGAATTACTGTACAGAAAAATTCAGAAGTGATAACATTTTATAGCGGGTCAACAAGTTAATGTGTCATTTTCATAGTTCTCACAAGTCAGATGAATTTGCAAAAAACCATGGGCATGTATTAGTCAAAATGAGAACATTTATTCTTCTCTATAATATTCTATTTCTCTGTTTCATCACACAGCAGAATATCTTAAGAAAAATAGCCTAAATATGTCAAGTGTTACATATTGCTTTATTCCTGAAGAATGACTGAAAATAAATTTAAAATAAAAATATATTGGTGCATTATGATTTTATTTTATTCTTTAACATGAAAGAAGGAGGCCTTCTACAGAAACAGTGAACTCTCACTTCTATAATGAAAGGACCACAGCAATACAGCAACACCACTGACCGCAACTGATTTAATTAAAATAAAATCGAACTATAATTTTTTATGTATATTTTTATGCCATAATCTCTACAGCACTTTTTATACTGATTCATTCTTAAATCATTAAATCTATATTAATTTACATCTTATCACCTTTCAAATAAGCTGCTTTTGCTATGGAAAGTATTAGATAAGATGAAGGATTTTGTGTTTAACCATTAAGTGATCCAATTCGTAGTTTAAAAAATTATGAGTTGTTTTCTCACCGATTGTCACCGACTACAGCTGATACATTTAAAATATACATAAACATAATTAAGGGTATAAAATCGGAGAATTTTAATGAAAAGATTAAAAAACACTAAAGGAAAATTATATGTTATTCACTTTATTAATTTATAAAGATTACCCAAACAATATATAATATACAGTGGAATCTATTATTCTCCAACAAATAGCTGCATTTCTTTTAATACTTTAAATTACGAAAGAAATCCACTATTTACTCGAAATTGCAACAAACACTCTTTGAAAATCAGACAAAGGTTCCACTGTATAAGTCACACAAAAAGTTTTAAAAACTACATTCATATACTAATAACTTGGAATATTTTAAAATACATTAAATTCATATAATTCATACCTCAAAATTTCAATCATCAAAGGTAAGCTATAAGAATAATAAACTTTTTCTATCATCTTTTTTTTTATTAAACAATATGAAATTAAAACCATATGAAGATGCTAAAATGAAAATGTTTTCAAACATTTAAGAATACCATTAAAATAGCAAATATAAAAAACAAACATTTTAATGTATGCATTTTTAACATGCAAGATAGAAGTTTTGGAAAATATCATTCATAAATGAATAATTAGTTCATATACAAGTATTTGCTAAAACTTACCAAATATGAAAGTGCATTTTAGACTTTAAAAAAACTTACCAAATGGCCAAGTTTTTCAGCTTCACCTTTTGCTGCATTTCGTACTCCATCTATTCTATCCATAATTTCTGAAGCAGTGGTTTCCATTTGCTCTTGATAGCCCTATCAAAAGAAATATAACATATATACACTAATGACCAATTTACCTTTACATAGTCAAAAATAATGATATTCCAAGAAATACCCAATTGACACAATCTATTTTTTGCAGCAAATGTGTGCTTGATAAGCCTAATTAGAATTATCCAATCAAAAATTAACAGATGGTTTTTAATATGCAGGTAAGGGTGTTGTATCATTTGATGGTGAATCAAGTGCTTTGCTCAAAGTGAATTTTTGATTTTCATGTATGCAATACGATATTTGATTTTCATGTATAAGGCCTCAAAACAGTTTGTTACAGCTCTGAAGTATTATTTGGAAGAATTTGTGAAATGATGAACAGTTACCCATTTAGAAGCAGAACAGCCGTGATGTGTGAATATTTCAAAACATACAATCTTTCCACCATAGAAACAATTCCAGAACTCAAAGACTATTATAAAGAGGCCTGGACAAAATCATAAATGAATAACTGCTTTTCGAGATCAATATCTAGCAATAACTGCCCATCATAACAGGAAGTCTACTGCTCAGTAGTTAAATTCAGAGCTTGCAATTTCGCTGGAACTGTTTATCACAGGACAGTCTACAAAATGTTTAATAAAAAGGCCTTTATGCGAGAAAGCCAAAGAATTGTGTTTCACTATTTTCAAAACAAAAGTGGGATAATTTTAATGGCTGCAAAGAATATTAAAACTGGAGTAAACATCTGATTCTAAACATATTTACACCTGGAGGGAGTACAAAAACAATAAACATTATGGAATAAGCCCGTTTCAGTAATGCAGATATGGGGAGGAATAATCATCAATGAAGGTATGTGGTGACACATTTTAACAGCAGATCTGTAATCAACCACAGTCATCAGGATGAGGTTTTAGAAATTTATGTAAAACTTTTCAGAAATGCATATGGATCAGACTTTTATTTATGGGTAATAATGCTCACCCACATCACTTAAACCCCACTAATGAAGAATTTCTTGAAAATGAAAACACTGAGCAAATAATTGTGGCCAGCGATCCTGAGCTTAACCCAATACAGAACTTACAGAACTAACTTGGAAATGCAGTTGTACGAAGACATTCTCCTCTGAGACAAGTAAATGCTCTGAAGATAGCATTGCTGAAGGAGTGGAACTTAATTCCCTAAACTGTGATTCAACAATTTTGCTGTCAATATGGAGACATGTTGTGATGCGTGTGTGTACAAATCAGAAAAGATCACATTTCATACTAAATTCATAAGCCTTAATTTTTTCCCAAGTTATTCTCTCCCCCCCATTTCTAGACAAGACATCATTTCTTTTGAGAAATGGTGTTGGAAATTGCACTGAACAACACACTGCAACATGTGTGCCATATGCTTGAACAGCTTACTCTTCAACAGGCTTTGAAAGGACCCTTACAGAAAACATTAACACTCGGCAAGTTTCTCCCAGCGGAAAAAAGTCCTCTGTTTTAGGTGAAGCAACACCCAATATAATTTCTGAAGAAAATTCACAATGTGATACGATAGTTCCAGCTATGCTACAATGCTAGACAAGATGCCGTTTCTTTTTAAGGTAACAGTGTTGGAAATCTGCTGAACATTGTATTAAGTATCATTCCATCCAAATTCATAAAATTATAATTCACATTTTCTCAAAAACTTATGATTCCATGCATATAAATATAATGAGCATGTGTGCAAATAGAATTGGATTTTAGTGACTTTTTATAAAAATGTGCAAGAAAATAGTTAAAATTTTAAAATTTTCACTTTACAAAGTAAAGAAACTCAAGATTAGTTAAACACTGGAACTTATTACATATCATGTTACTTATTAAGAACCCCCAACCCAAATTTCAAGTACCTTTGTTCTAGCAAAGGACAACTGAATCCTTAACAGGAAAAAATATTAGTTATGCGAATAACTATTTTTACACAAAATATCTCCTAAATGAATTTCTGCATTACTTTCAAGTAAAACAAACCAGAACAAAATAATATCTTCCTTTCTAATATTCAGAATAAATAATATAATTAGAAAATTAAACATAATTAACAATTTACAAATTTATAACATTTAAAAACAGCTGCATTAATGTAAGTTTTCTTTTTTCCCTTTAACATAACACCCAAAATAGCATCACTGTACGCAAGAGTGCAAATATTTATATATATTTTTGTTAGAATGTTAATTCAATATACAAATTTTTAAGTATTTTTGTTTTTGAAAACTAAAAAATCTCTCTTCTCTGCAATATTATATTTATGTCAGACAATGTGAAAGTTCTAAAACTGAAATAAAATATATTTAAATGAACTATATTAAGTAAAAAAAATAAATAAATAAAAAAATAAAATTAACATAGATAACACAAAAATTTAAGTATTTCTTAATGCCAATACAAATTTTACAACAAAAAATTTCAAAACATTATTCAACTTTCTTTAAAAAAAATTACCTTCAGGCTGTATTCTGTTCGAGGAGTTAAGTTCTGACTTATAATACTAAGAGATGCTCTATCAAGATCACGGATACACGAACTTAATTTTTCTATTGCTGCATCACATTCTTTTTGACCTGGTGCTTTATCTCTAATAATAATAATAATATAAAAAAAAGCATGATCAAAACATATTATATTATGTAAGTTACCTATGATAGCTATAATCTAATAAGAAATGACAGCAATCAAGCAAAATTTTGATAATATCACCTAACAGTGATATTGTCACATCTCAGTTATATGACTGATTTAGTTATACAATCATTTCCCATGTCCCTGCACGAGGAATAGGAATATAATGCTTATATTCTTTCACAGCACTTCATCACATGTTCTCAGTTACATAATGCAGGGAAAAAAAAAAAAAAAAAAAAAAAAAAAAAAAAAAAAAAAACCACTAATTTCTCTCAGATAAAGAGAATCATTTTATACTTTAGTGTCAAGAACTTTGGGAACAGCTGAGGGAGTCAACTTCTCCACGTCCTTTCAAATGTCTTTACTCACCTACTCCAATCCCTATCAAACTAAATACAACACTTACATACCTACTCCATTCATCTATTACACTGCTAATAGAAGAATACATATATGTTAACTGCAATACACAAGAAAACTTTTCATATTAAAAAAAAAAAAAAAAAAATAAGTGCTATTTAATGTTTTGAAAATACCAGTAAAAGAGATTCTTTATTAATCTTGGTTCACAGCAATGCACTCAAATAAACAAAGTAATGCATTCAAGTAATGCATTCAAATAAACAATCTAAAATTCAGAACATTAAATCTGAGATTCTGGAGTCAGCTTTATTTTCATGGTTAAGAATTAGAAGTTAAAGCTTTTAATTCATTCATTAGCAATGAGTTAATAAAAGGAAAAGCACTATATTGGGATCACAGCTCAAAACGGATAAAATTTTCAGCTTCTCAGTTTGGGTAGCATAGATTGAATCTGAGAAGATAAAATGCAGCAGTTGAAGATTCGAGTGAAGATCGGTAAATGACAAATATCCACATTTAAGAAAAACAACTTGAAATGTGCTGAAGTTGGTTTATTTTACTGACATTTACTTAATAAGGCACTGGACTACAAAGGGCATATCTGCACTATGACAAATAAACAAGGAAAGATTGACTATTCTGCACTGTAATGTTGATGGAAGATAGAAATTGTTACTTCTAGTTGCTGCAAAATCATTGAAATCCTGTTACTTTTAAAACTTCAAGGAATTGTCATAGTGTTAAGCAAACAATGAAATGGCATGGATCTTATCCCCTCCAAAAAGCAGCTTTTGTTTGTGGATCAGTGCCCTGCATATCCACATAATCTCCCACACTTAAATTTTTTTCAAAATTTTTTTCCTAACATACTAGATGTTAGCTAACTTTAACAATTAGATTATACTATAGAATATACTATCAGTAAAGACATATTATGCAAAGGATTTAGTGAAAAGAGTCCTTGATACCCTCAAGCACATAACTTCTTCCTGGGATAAAATGCATGATCCCAAACTAGTAGTTCATGGAAGTAAGATTATTTTTTTGAATGATGGAAACATCATTGCATCAAAAGAGAGTGAAGCTAACAGAGATTTTAACATGTTTTGCAGATGCACTGAAAGCTTTATAAACATTGAGACACCATTTTCAAATTGTGAATCTATTATTAAGTGTATTATCACACTTTAATAATTTTTTTTTAAAAAAAGCATTTTTTAATGTGCTCTAAAAATGAAAATTAACAGAGAACTTTCTTTCATGACATGTAAATGGCATCATGTGAATATAAAGTTGAATATTTAATTAATGAAAATGTATGTACAACACATAATTTTTCTATTTAAAGCATAATACAACTAAATTATTACAAAAATACTATTATAATCCTTAGTAACATATTTTAGAAATATAAGGAACTTTCACTTGAATGCCTTTTTTCATCGGTCCCTTCAATGTTGTTTATATAAGAGATGCTCATATACAAATTTGTTTAAAAAAAGAAATGTAATAAAAGGAATCTCATCTTATTACCATTCTTTTTTAACTTTATAAAACAGAAAAGCAAATATTATTTCATATCAAGAGAAATATAGCATTAACTGTATTTTAAAAAAAATACATTGCTTTCAGAATCTTTTAAAAAATTTCAGCCTTTATGTCATTATTTGATGGTTTCAACTTTTTTACTAATTAACAGTATTTTATCTTATGCAGTAGAAACAACAGTTTCCTTCCATATGAAAAACCAGTCACTGTCTACAAATAACTGTGATGGAAGATTTGTATTCAGTGCTCAAGAGTAATAAAAGCCTAAACAATTTTACATGAATTTTAGAAGGTAATTTTTCTTGGAATCAAATAGGTGGATCAAATACTAAACGGGCACATTTTCGTACATATAAATCTTAAATCATTTTCAACAAAGAATTTAATTTTTAAAAATGCTGGGAAATCTTGTTATTTATCTTTCCTCTTCATACACAACAAGGATGTCAATTTGTATCGATTAATGAAGCGAAATCTGCATTAAAAATGGCATATGGTTGCCACTTTTGATGCCATCTTAGGGCTGAGAAAAAAAAAAAAAAAAAGGCTTACAAATAGCACTTCCAGAAACTAATGCACACACCCAAAGTGTGTCATTGCATAAAGAGATCATTTCAAATACATTTGTGATTTGGCATCTTAAACTACTCAAGACAAGAATTTTTACTCCAAGCTTTGAACTTTTGGATTGCACTCTGCCATCAGTAAGTCTAAAGTTCATTACAAACTCAAAAACTGAATACAGAAGGGTTGAAATATAGAAATTTTCAATATGAATACATTTTTTATGAAGTAATCTTGAAGCAACACAAGCTTCTGAATCCATTTTTTAGGAAGTAATCTTGAGGCAACACAAGCTTCTAAGTATATGAAAACACAATCTGGCAGTATACTCACTATAAAAATGCATATGGTCACGGTTGAGAATCAATGATACGAGTTGATTCTAAACTTTTATTTGTCTCATAGAACTAAACTGCATTTTTATGTATGTTTGTTATTTGTGCATGCAGAGATCAAAGCTCACCTAGCCTACTACCATTTTTCACAATATGCTTATTACCACACTATAGTTCAATATTCAAAGGCCAGGATTCTTTCAACATTACTCCACAGAACAAAAGTTCTTATTTCAAAGCTACTATATTTCAATCTCTCTGCATGCTTTATCAATTGGCCAAAAGTAAACTTCCCTCTGTAAGAATTCTTGGATTGCACAATCATAGACAGTATGTGAAAACATGAAATCAAAATGCATTATTTGAAGCTGTCAATTAAGTATATGTTTTTACAGCACTAGTTTGGAAGCAGATGAATTTGTTAACATAAACATCTGAATTTCTTAACTTAAACATCTAACTATTTGTTAACTGAAACATCTAAATTTGTTAACATACTTAATGGATGAAACAAGCTTCTTGATCGAATCTGAAACATTTTTGCTATGGCTGGCTAATGTTTGCCATGTTGGAGGATCTTTAGGATTGACAGCTAATGATTTTGCAGACTGGATCATGTTGCAGGAACCATCTATGATACTTTTACCAGCTGATGTAATTGGTTCTTGGGCAGCTCTAGCCTATTTAGGAAAAACCATATCTTAAGATTACAAATCTAAAACATTACCGCAGTTTAGATAACATCAACAGAAATAAGTTTGGAACATCTCTCTCAGTTAAGAACAGAATAAAAATTAATTATGAAAATTCAGATAATTGTCCAAAATTACACTTAAGAACTAAAAGAATACTTATTTCCCACTTTCTTTTATCACTATGTTTATGAATCAATTTGAATAAAATATGAAATTTTAAACTCAGCTATTTTTTAGAAAAAAGTATATTTAGAATAAAAAATACAGGGAAAATAATGCATATTTCAGACACGATGAAAGTAAACATACAATAGTTAACTTAAAATCAATGAAAATGATGAAGACATTTTCTTAAATGTATATGGGGTGATACTAATCTACCATTTTTAAACAGAATAAAGATGTATGATTGTAGTCCCTTTACGTGATTATGAAATAACAGCAGACGTATAGGCATTTACTGCAGTTTATAAGGACAATACCACAAATCAATGAATCCTGAAAATAATGTCTTCTAAATATCCTACTTCTACTTGGATATGCTATCTGAGTTATCCAGAAACTAATGACAAAATTTTTAAATATTATGAAATATATATATATACTTTCTTTTAATTAGTGACTACTGCATATTAATTATATTGATTTCACTAATTATCAGAGATAAGCTTTATTTATAAATGGCTATAACTTCTACTAGGGGGGAAGTAATATTGGCATTTTAATTAGTTCAAATTAGCTAAATTTTAACTAAGTAGCTTTTTTTTTTAATGCTAAAAAAAAGGCTATCAAAACAAATTTTTCTTTGTTGAAGGAAATCATCCCTTGTGTTAAATATGCTAATTTTTCAAGCAATTATTATCCTCTGCCCATTTTTTTAAGTAATAAGTTTTTCTAAAAATCGAGGGAATTTTTTTGGGAAGAGGGAGGGTTTATATTACATGATGAATTAAATTTTGATCCATGATTTTTTTCATTATATAGATTAAAATTCATGTTTATATTTTTATTTCTCAGAATGAATAAATAATATAATAATTTTTATATGGAATTATTATTTTAAATCAGATATTTACCTTCTGACTAATTTTAGCTGGTATACTTGCAAATTCTGGGGATGATGCAAAAGTTGTCAGATTTTCAACTGCTTCAGTCAAAGGCTTAATTGCAGCAGCAGTATTTTGACGATTTTTTTCAGTTGGGTTTTGATCTAAGGCCTAGAAATGCAAGAAAATTATGTAAGCTAAATTGTTTACATTCAGAAGACACTTATGACACAAATTAAATACATGATTATTAGACACTTATGACACAATTTAAATACATGATTATTACATTTAAGAAAGTACTGGGCATTATATACTTCTCTAAAAGGAAATTCTTAAAACAAAAATATAAAAAGTCATAATTAGGTAGTATATTAAAATTTACCTACAGCAAAAAAAAAAAAAAAAAAAAAAAATTGCTGTAGGTATTCTTATATTAACAAGCCAAATAACACACCTTAATTTCCATAACTAAATTAGCAGTAGCATTTGCCACATCTTTTGCAGACTGAACAAAATGGCGCTTAGCTACAGGATTTGATGTTTTAGAAGATGCAATGCGACATGAATTGCAAAGAGCTGAAGTATGCTTAGCAATAACAGTAGCAGCTGACAATATCTATTGAAAAAAAAAAATTGACACTATTTAAAACAAAAGTGATAAATAAGTGTAAACATAACAGAATACAAAAGAATTGATTTGAAAATTTTAATTATGCACAGCCAAATTTTGTTTAAAGTCACTATTAGGAATTTACAAAAAAAAAAAAAAAAAAAAAAAAAAAAAACTACACAAATGAGGAAACATTTAGAATATATAATTACAAAAATATATGCAGAGAAAAAATAGTTATTTTAAAATAAATAACAGAACTCAATTTATAATTTTAAATATTCAATATAAAATTTACAATAAATTAAAAATTTAATAAACACCGATCTTCTGTTTGAAAATAATTTACTACATACAATACATTAAGATTTGTGTTAGATCAAAAACTATCTTAAATCCCTATTTGAAAAAAAAATTTTTTTTTCTTTTGACTTTAAAAACATAATAGCTCTATTATTAATAGCTTTAAAATGATTTTAAGTAGCATTAAATTTTTATTAGTTAAAAATCTTGTTACAATCCCTAAAATATCTAATTCGTCAGGTTTAAATATCAAGACTGCATCAAGATTATCACCTTCACTTTCAATATGAATAAAATCTTATCAGCATTCATTACTTCTATGTCTATTTACAAACTATTGTGGCCATAATTACATTACTGATAAATCAAAACACTGTCATCAACAGCAACATATTCCGAATTACTCATAATATTGCAGTTCTAAGGTACTTAAATCAGAAAAAAGGATACATCTTTTTTCACTACTGTTAATAAATGAAAATTCAAACTGTATCTGTATTCATTCAGGATATACATATAATATTTTTTAAGCCGGTAACTAAGTTCAGAACTTTTACAACTAAGATTTCTCATAAGAAACGCCAAAATTTCTGACAAAGACATCCTAGGCTAATAAATTGGTGACTTGATAACAGCATTTTTGACTCACAAATCATGCAATAAACTGAAAAACTGATGCAATAAGCTGGGGCTTCAAAAAATGTGACATTATAAGCAAGATAAAATTTAGATGATCTTAAAATGAGGTTTGACTATACTTAAAATTAAGTTGCTCAGATTTTAGCACCAAAATAAATAAATAAAATAGGTATTATATTTAAGCGACTTCTATGATTCTTCTTTTTTACAAACATTCATATTGGAGCATTTAAAAGAACATTTCATGTCACTGTTATTAAAAAATAAATACATAAATAAAAAGCAAGAAATTAATATCATGAAAGCTCTGATATTTTAAAATAAAAGATTTCAACATACTTGCTGCTGATTACTGGCTGAACTCGTTAACTGTTGGCATGCAGTTTGAATAGCTTGGTTGGCGCGGGCAAACTGTGCAACATCAACAAGTCCAGGTCGACCAGCTACACTGGATGGATCAGATACTCCAACAAGATAAGCAGCCTAAAACATAAATTTAAAACAACTCAATATTAGATTACAGATGTTTTATTACAATTTAAGAAAAATAATTTAAAGAAAGTCTAAATTCACCTGAGCAGCTGCTTCCACAAGACCACATACAGCAGTTGACACATCATTTACAGCTTCACCAAAATTTTCAAGATCATTCTTTTTGGCATAATTTGCAATTCCTGTCATAGCATCACCCAAATTCTGAAAATTTCAATAAAAAAGTAATTTATAAGTATACAGATAAAAAAAATAAAAATTAAAATATCAAAAATTTATTCAACTTACTTTGGATTTCTCAGTTACAGAATCTAAGCAATCATAATAACTGCAGTCATTAACTGGTTCATTTGGATTATCTAATAAAGGCCTCATGCTCTGAAAATAATTACAAAAATAAATGCACTTCAATATGCTCATTTATGTTTAAAATATATACAATTTTAAAAATCAAAATCAAATTATTAAGGTCCAATATAATCAAATAAATACAATAAGACTGTTAATGTTTCTGCATAACTGATAACTGAGTTTATTAATAAAGTTTTCATAATCAGATGTTGAATTTCCTAAGTACCTTTTGACTCGCACATTACATTCCTGCATGTTATCTTACTTGTATGTTAACTCACTTGCTAAACATTTCTTTCATTAGTTAAATTTCAACATAAACATTTTAGAAATATTCAATTTCAATTCTCATTAAACATTACTATTCCCAAGCTGAATACTCCAACAGCTACAATTTCAAGCTTTCTTTTGAACACTTCCTAGCATACAAATAAAGCACCAAACATGCTGTTAAAATTGAAGTTAAAAATGATGGTTATCTTTTTGACAGACAATTAATGCATACTTCCAAACAATTTGGTGAAGCAAATTATTTCATAAGGACCAAGTCATTCATAATGTAAAAATGTGAAACATTTGAGCTCAAATGACTGACAGAAACATTTTCCCTCTTCTACCAGAAAAAACAGCAATTAAGCTTAACTTATTGATAATAAAAGTATCTGCTATATTCACAACAAAAATTACTGAAAATAGCACTTCTAACACAGTTATTACTGCAAAAGTGTGATGTCAGCAAAATCTTTAGCATACAGGGATGAAGCATAGAGATTTTATTAAATATCAATATTTATTGCTTAGATGAATTAAAATTTATAATATGTAAAAAACTGATCAGGAAATAAATGAAATACATAATTTATCTTACTTGTATGTTTCTAATGGCATTATCACATTCTTTCTGACCAGGTGCAGCTGATGTACAAACATTGATTAAGTTGTTTATACTTTCGGTGACTGATCTACAATAATAATAATAATAATAATAATAAATTAAAGACAATAAAGTACCAAATTCCAATTATATTCATCTCTGATGTAAGGGAGAGAGGGAAGAAGGAGTGTGTTACTTAGAAGAATTATACATAATTTTTACAAACCTAGCAGCAGCAGCAAGTTGATTCTTGGCATTGGGAGCTCCAGGATCAGCAGCAACAGATTTTGCAGCTACAAGAAGCTTGCTTGAAACCATTGAAACATTTTTTAAACTAACCACCATGGAACTACGAACTTCAGTGTCCTGAATTTCAAAAAAATTATCAGAACCTTTTTTAACATGTTAATTATGAATTATTAATTTTACATGTTAATTAATAACATCCATTTATGAATGGATGATATAAATAACATTATACCATATTCATTTATGAAAATACGTAAATAAATCCAGAAACTAAATCAAAAAATATAATTCTGTATATTATAGGAAAAATGTAGTAATGAATATTAACATGAAAATAAACAAGAATTGTATGGAAATAATTTCAAGAAGTGAAGAGGGGGGGGAACTTTTTTCTATTCCCTTCCAACCAAAATGGGTCATAGAGGATCTAAACTTTTTTTTTTTTTTTTTTTTTTTTTTTTTTTGTTTCATGCACTCGTTTTATCACTGGTAGATGATCATCCCTTTCTTTAACTAAAAAAATACATATACATTTATTTAAATTTGAATTATTTCACAACCTGTTTTATAAATTAAACAAGAAAAAATACAGAAAATATTGATAAGTACCAAAACTTAAAATAAAAACAGTCTTTTATATCCATAAACTAAAATTAAATACATAATAGGTAACCAAAACTTAAATAAAAACAGTCTTTTATATCCATAAACTAAAATTAAATACATAATAGGTAAATAAAAGGTTAACCGCTTTCCACCTGAAACTGTGAAATTCACCCCTCACTCCAAATGAAAACGTCTGTTTTAGCACTTTCAGTTTCCTTGTATCTACCATGCTGATTTAAAAAAGCATTACACGCAAACCTTTATGTCAGATTTTATTTCTGCAATCTTAATTACTTTAAAGTTTATAAAATAATTAGGAAAACATAAAGTTCCTGGTTTTGTTAATTGTATACTGTTGATAATGCAATTTTTTTCTTAATGGTCAGTTTTAATGAAGAACATGCTTAGGTAAGCCACAACTAAAAAACTCCATAAAAATTTACATTGGTGTGTCAACTTTGTTATTTATATAGGAATTACTAAACACAGTCGTAGAATGACCATGTCATCACTGGTCCTATACACTGTATCTAGTATGTTAACAATATAGCATGTATGTCATAATTAATCTTTGATAGAATTAAAAATATGCTTTAAAACTCAAAGTTTAAAAAAAATATGAATTATTTTAATTATGTCATCCTTATTATTTTAAAAACATTATTATATAACACATATACTTTTCACATAATGTTAACAAAATAAATACCTTAGTGCCACCAATTATGTCAACACCACAATCCAGTAATTCATTGAAAGCCTTCCCAAATTTTTTGGATGATGTGGCTAATTGGGCAGGTGAGCCTTTAGATGAAGCAACAACATCAGTAGCAGCAACATTCAAATTTGCAGCAGCATTACTTAAATTGCTTTGAAGTTCAATATATGGCTTATTAGACTGAGGGAACTAATTAAAATGAAAGAAAAAAAATAAGTTACAAAAATACTAATAACCAATAGCATATGAAAATGCTATACTAATGTGATGACTGCATTTAAAATGAAAGGAAAAAATATATCTTACCTCTCTGGAATTAAGAATTTGGCTGGCATCTGTAATATTTTTGATTGCATCATCTACATCTTTCTGTCCTGGTAAACAATTGACACAATTGTTAAGAGCAGTAGAAACAGATTTTGCAACCTAAAAAAAAGGGGGGGAAAGGTAGTGAGAGATAAGTATTAATTATGTAATATCACTGTAATCATTCTCATGCTAGACAAATTTACTTTCATAAAATTAGAAACAACTTAATTCTAATGGTTAAAATTATGTTAAATTTACATCTGGGGATATACAAATCAAAATTTTCATATAAATATTTCTGACATCAATATTCATTAACTCAGTTATGACCATTTATGGCTTTGAAATCCCTCCACTCATTTACAAATCAAAATACTAGATAATAATTGACAGAGAATTTGTAAAAATATCACTCCTCTGGAATTAGACTATTTAAACATATGATTTAAAATTTATATTTCTCAGCACTAACCTTTTGCATAACTACATCCTTTAAAAATTTTATTAACATATTATACTTTTTTTCTTATTCATTTGTGAAAATATGTAACAAGCTTAGTTCTGAATCATCTAATTTTTTTTAAAAATTTCTTTTTTCATGCAGATATTCATATTATACAGAAAATCACACATTCTCAATTTAAGGCAAACAAATGCTGTAATGTTGTTTTCCATCCAAAAAGTCACTTGCTTAGTTAATCCAAAATTAACTAATTAAAAACTGGCAAACTCTGATAATGTTCCTATTTCAAACAAAAAGACCTTGACACATTTTAAAAAATATGAAGGAATTTTCTTCAAAAGCAAGTTCTTAAAATTACGATATTTTTTATTTCTTTAATATTAATTACTTGTGCCTTATATTATTCTACTTAAATTTATTAATACTTATAATTTCATTCCTTGATATTTATACTAATTACACTCTTAATCCTTCATATTAATACTTACTACTTATTATATTATTCCTTAATATTAATACTATTTAATTTCATGTTATTTGATAAGTTTTTGGAAGTTACTGTTAAAGATCTTTCCTTTTAATACCACATTTAACTTTACACGCAATATAATAATTAAAAGTATTGAAACTGAAGTACAGCATATTTTAATTTTCTACAAAGTTTTCAGCTTTATTTTAAAATAGATAGCAATAAATATCATTCACCTTTCCTTATATTTGAAATATTTATTTCTGAAAAATACTTTAGTTTTTGGTCACTATGCATGAAAATACATTTATTTTCTTCTTATGTTCGCATTACCAATTGGCACACTTTCTCTCAGACCTCATAAAAACTTTTTACACTGCTCCTAGATTTTTTTATTATTTGTAACACATCATTATGTTTTATATAAAAAGCACTGAAATAAAGCAGTCTCAGAAATTAATTTTGATGGTACACGAAAATTAAGGTTAGTTCATAAGTAGCTAACACACATAAAAGTTAAATACATAATTTTCAGGAAACCTGAGTCAGCCTTTGTTGGATATCAGGATTGCTAGGATTATTCATAGCTCGTTGGGATTCCTGAATTAATAATGTAGACTTATCCATCACATCTCTGGCATTGTCAATTATCTTAGTTTGTATTTCTCTGTCATTGCTTGTAGCAGCAACACCCCGAACAGCCTTGGTTAAGATTTTGAGAGCACTTCCAGTGTCACGTGCAGCAATTCCAGTATAGTTTTCATTGCCCTTTTAAGAAAAAATGATATTGTAATCGCCTTACTCAAGAAACATGAATTGCAATTTTAAAGGTATTTTATATATAATAAATATTTACTTGAGAAGCAGCAGTAAGCAATTGAGCCATTGATGATCCCACAACTTTTGATATTGCTCCAAGTTGCAAAGCTGAATTTTCCATCTGAAGGAAAAGAAACAAGGGTTAAAAAAGCCTAATTTCATACTATACTCAAAATCCAATATATTTTAAGATTGTTTATACTGAAAATTAAGATTTAAAATACTTACTGTTTCACCTGGAAGAGGCTTCAACTCTAAATTCTCTGCAGCTTTTCTAAATGCCAATAGCTCTTCATCCAGACTTCGAATTAAGTCCAATGCATTTTCTAATTCCAAGCTCCCACATGCCTCTTGAGCCTAAAGACATATTTCAAATATGTTTTTGAAGTACAGTTTTCATAAGTTGCTTGTGTTTTCTCTTAGTTAATATTATATATACACACACATTTCACAGCTTTCAATACAGAAGGTAGAAGATTTAACCAATTGCTAACAAAAATAATCTTAATTTTATTAAAAATATAGTCAGGTTACATATTATTTTACAATTTATAGCATAAAATAGTTATACAACACAGCAATACACCTACAAATAATAAATTATGCAATAAATAGTTTGAGTAGTAAAACATAAGATAAATGCTATTGCTATAGCATATGAAGTTTTTCTCTACAGTGAAAACTTGTTTATGGAATACATATACATGAACATTAATTATGTTTAATGTGTATTTGTATATACACATACATACATATATCTGTTTATAAAATTACAAAATTACCTAGATGACTAGACTAGTATAGACTGGATACTATATACATATATACTGAAACAGTTAAGAAAATACCTTCATCAAAGAAGATCGCAGTTCTGTTAAAGCATTTGTCATTTGCTTTGTAGCATTATTCAGTTGTAAACTTGCAGACTGGTCTGTGATGGTAGGAAGGGCTGCTTTAGATGCTGAAACCATTTTGTTGCCATGCTAGTATTAAAAAATACCATGTAAGGAATGAAATACATACGAAAAACTATTACTTAATTACAGTAGAGTACAGAAGGGTTATGAGCTTATAAAAATCACCTGAAATTTTATAGCAATCAAGAATACAATAAAAAATTACGATATTCTTGTTAACTAAACTGTAATATAAAATACAAAATTCCCAAGTCACACATTTCAATACACCAGGAACTTAAAACATTTTTTATTTCATACATCACTTAAATAAGACTTTGTAATCATAGATTACACATAACCTCCCACCTTCAAACCCTTTGATCCCATTACTTTTCTCCAGCACTCTTGAAATATATATTATATTATTTTAATGCCATAAAATTTAAAAAATGCAATGGATAAGAGCAGACAAAGACTGATTACTACATTAAAAATCTCAAATAAATATGACAAAACTTTTAAACCAAACACATTATTAACATACCCTAATTATTTTGACTGACAACTTTGAAACATGAAATAGATAGTATAATATCACATTGCATATCTAAAATTTATACAACAATCTTGGTGAGGTGGTCATTGAACTGTCAGTCAAGCTTTACTATTAACATGACTGTAGAATCTGCTCCACTGAGTTCAATTCTTTGTAGTAAAGATCAATCTGGAGAGCTAAAATTTTAAATTAGGATCAGCACTCAAATTGTTAAGGTAATTGTTTTTAATCTAAAAGACCAGTGAAAATGCTCTTCTCACTAATTTAGTGCTTGTAAATGGCAACAAGTATTTTAATGCCATGTAAATTATTTCTTCCTTCTTCTCTCACTGAAATGCAAAAGAAATAGGAATCCATGAAAAGCTCAATAAATTTTCTTTCTTAGAGAATGATAATCTTGATGTTACTTTAAACACATTTTCATTTAAGGAACCCAAAACTCAGTTGTTTTAGTCACTTGATCAAGGAAAATAATATTTAAATGATTCTCTTAAATGTACTATAATTCATTTTGTTGGAAGTTGAAGCTCAGTTTCTGATAAAAAAATATGAAGTATACAGAGTGATCAAATATGAAAGAGCCTTTATTGCCCATACGATGAATGAGAGAAGCATGCCTGTCTATAATGAGCAATGCATAAAGTTGCTCGTCTGTGAAAATGTGAAACTAACCAAAATTTACCACAGACTGCATGCCCAGTTCGGGGAAGCTAGCCTTTCATGATCAAAGATTAAATGCCCTTAAATGTTTGGTGTAATGAATTCAAGCAAGGCCGCGAATGTGTTGTAAATCAAGGTCATCCCCCTCATCTATGCACCAGTGCGACTATTGAAAACTCTGAATGTGTTTGTGATTTTATTGAACAGGACTGACACTGCAGAGTGCTCCAAATTTCACAACTTGGTGTCAGCAACGGAAGTGTTCTAATCAGCCATCGGAAAGCAGTTGGGCTTCAGAAAAATCTCAGCTCATTGGGTTCCACAGTCGCTGAATGTTGATTTAAAAAAAGAAAAAAAAAAAAAAAAAAAAAAAAAAAGGCTGCATGAGTTTGCATTTCTCAGTTGCTCCAAACTCAGTTTGAATAAGAAAGGAAAACTTTTTCTAACATAAAACTGTCACCTGTGACAAGACAAGACATGGGTGCATCATTACACCCCTCAATCAAAGCATGCAAGCCAGGAGGGAAGAAGGAAAGGTAAAGAAAACTCCATGAAAGCCAAAGCTTACATTAAAAAAAAAAATTACATTTATATTTATAATTATAGCTTTTATAATTTCTCTGCAGGAAAAAAGTTAACCACAGTTTTTTTTTGGATTAGAGGGCGAGTAGGTGGATCTACTGGAGGACTTCTTACACGGACGTCGGACCATCAACGCAACCTACTACTGCAGTTTTTGGATTAAGTTAGGGTTCGACGCAAAAAACAAGACTGTCCCATGCATGAGGTGCTGATCCTCCATGGCAACACCAGGCTCCCCACAGCAGCTGTGATGAAGCAGAAATTGGTGGAAATATGCTGGAAAACACACCATCATCCACCTTACAACCAAAACATATCACCGTACGATTTTCACATGTCTACACCCCTCAACGAAGCACTTGGATACAAGCAATTTGAAACCTATGATCAAGTGGAAACTTTTGTGTGCAGTAGGTTAGATATCCGTCCAAATTCATTTGATGATAATGAAGTGAAAAATTACCAAAACTTTGGGGAAAATGTATCATAAAAGGAGCAGATTACTTAGAAAAATAATTTGTAGACATGCAGATATTTCCTATAAAATAAATTTTGTTTGAACAAAAGGCTCGTTTATATTTGATTCACCCTGGTACCTCACATATTTTCCTTTTTTTTTTCCTTCAAAAAATGATTTCTAAAATTCTTTGTTTTTTTTTTGTTTTTTTTTTAAATCACAGATCTTATTTTATGCAGCTTTACATATTACCTAGTGCATATTAAATATATAACAAAAAATAAATTTCTGAACTACTTTAAATAACACTGGAAAAAAAAAATTTAATCTAAAGATACACAATACAGCATGCGGTTGAGAACATATTATATAATATCAAATACCATTTATTTTAAAAAAAGTTTGATTTATAAGGAAGCATTATAGATGAAAGCATATTTTTTAAAAATATCTTTAAAAATTAAATTTCATCTTCTCAAGTAATACTAGTTTTTTACTTCAATTTACACTATCAGTTTGTTAGTTGATATACTGCATACCTGTAGCATAAGTTCACATGAACTGATTAATGCAAGCTGTGAAGAGGGATTATCAACATCCATAATAGTACTTTTGACACCCTGAACTAATTTTGGAATAACTTCTGCAACTTCCTAGAAATACATATTTTGTAATATTTTAAGAACTTAATAAAAGGTTAAAGAATCATAAATTCAGATACTTTAAGGAAATTGAAAGAGAAAGAAATACATGCATCTTTATTCTCAAAAATCATAAAAATATAATTTGGGGGCGAACAGAGGTTAAAAAGAGTAATGAATAAATATCATGGATAGTACAGATTTTACCTCAAACTCTTTACAGTTAGCTTTTATAATCTGTATATAAAAAAACATACCTTACAACTTTCAAGGAGTTCTTCTTGAGAACTTGGATTTTGGTTGTATTGACTAGCTCCTTGAGCAGCAGCAATATTTTGAGTAGACATAGCAGCAGTATGTTTTGCTGCTTGCTGTATGGAAAACAGAATGATTAATTAAAATGTATACCAATGAATAGTCTCATAAAATTTACAAGCTAGTTCACAAAATAAATGCTGTAGTTAGGTCATAGCAAATAAATACACTAAATATTAAAAAGACAGTCTTTGGATCAATACATTACCAGGCAAGCAGTATAATAATCACATTAAAACTAATTCTTAAGATCCTCAAAATAAACATAAATCATTAGAGATTAAAATGCAATATACACACCTCTAATCTACGAATGAGTTTTCGTTTCAGAGCATTGTTTGCTGCTGCATTAGTAGCATTTCTAAGGTCTTCAGCCGCTTTCTGAAGAGCAGCCTGGGATGCTGAATCATGAGGATTAGAAGCACAACCCTATAAAAGAAATATGAGATCTTTAACAATATGGATAAACCAATAGGATGTGCCCAATTTTTCTTAAAACTGCTAGCTAACTAGGCATTTATATAAATTTTCAATACAGCTAATTTATCCACGTTGAATAAATGCATTCACACATTCTGTCAGGTAAAGACATGTATACAATTTTAAACCTTGATTTAAATGCATGTTTTAATGGAATCTAATTAATAGCTTTTAAAATTCATTACTATCATATAATAATACTTCTAAAAAAATTTCAAAATTCTTTAAAATTTTCTTAAAAGAGCAAAGGTATACAAGGAACAGAAATTTCTTATAGATATCTTTTTCATGTACTTCCAGTTTTTAAATCCTCCAAAAATAGCAATAAATCAGCAATGACACTCCTAACGTAAACTACTTAAATCTGACAAAATAGAAAGCACGTGCATTTTGTTTAGCCACAGCACGAGTGAACTTTTACAGCATACAAAAAAGATAAGAACAGATTTGTTTCTGAATGAATTTTATAATGCATATTGCAATTCTGTAATGATTATTTCTCTTTGCATTGTCCTTTATTTTGCAATGTGATTTCAATAATCTTGTTGCAGTCACTATTATTTATGATTGTTACCTTTGAAAGCTGGACTAATGATTAGGCTAACAACAATCATTTAATTAAGTTTATTCATTACAAGAAGTGTTACTAGGCCATCTGTTATTTTCACTTTTTAAAAATAAGTTAATGATTTTTGATTTAATGACAATTGAGGAAGATAACTGCTATAAGCAGGCTGCACTTTAATGTATTTCCACTAAAAAAAAGAAAGAAATCTAACTTCTGATTTACTGTCAACTGAGAAGATGTCATTTTATTCTTCCATTATAGAGGCACTTTACCTCACATTTAAATATACAAAAATAACCCTGAAATGAAATTATATATATATATATGAAAGCTTTTGGAGATGTAAAATAAATAGTTACAAACAAAAGAAAAGCATACATTATGAAAATTGGTTTAGTGGCTCAAGAACACCACACTATTTCTAACAATGCCGCACTATTCATGTACAGCATTAATACTCAAACTGACTCAAAATACAACTATTCACAGGAATAATTTCATGAGAGAGATATGTTATCTGCATTTAATCCAATAACCAATTAAGCGAATAGGTGGCTCTGGAAAAATTACAGAAACAGAAGAGAGTTTGTCTGGAGGAAAAACAATGGCAGTGTTCTTCCACAACAGTGGCTATTTGGTGAGTTATGCCAAGAAGCTGGGGAATGCTTTCTTATTTAGATTCCAAATACAGAGCCAACCACATTCATGGCATATGGATCATGTACAAGAGGGACTAACCATTTATTCACACTGATGGTGAACATTCACAGAATTGGAAAAAGCAGGCTCATTTCACTGTAATAGAAATGAAAGAAGTGTTAGAGAAGAGAGTGGCTGACAGATCCGTGATTTAGTACTTCACTTGGAAGGGCTTCACTGCAACAAGATGACATGCTGCAGACATTAAGAACATAAAACCCAATAATTTGTAATAGTTAAAAGGTGGGTCACCAACTTCAAACATGGCCATATTTTGGAATAAGAAGGACCTCCAATGATGGCAACAGCATAGGAAAACCTCAACACTATGCTGGATATGATCATGTAAATAGTCAAATGACTGTGAAAACAATGTCTGAATATTTTCAGATCTTGATCAAATGTACACAACAAATTAACCATCAAGAACTACCCATGAACATAGTACTGACTCATCTGGTCTCCAAAATCTTTTTCCCAGAAAAAAGAAATGTAGACTTTTGGGGAAAAAAAAAAAAAAAAAAGTGATCAAAGACTCTACTATCAACATGAAATATCATTCCAGTATGATACACAACCTGAAAAATGGTATGGAGGGAAACTGACAAAAGAATCATCCTGTGCCAAGACAATACATCTCATTGTTGTGTAGCAATTGCACTATCTGCTTTGGCTGATTATGACTTCACCTCTCTTACTCATCCACCTTATTCCACTAACCTGGGCCAGTCAGATTTTCATTTGCTCTCTGCTGTTAAGAACTCACTACAAGGATGTCGACACAAACAATTATGCTACCAAGATTAGTGTTTTTTTGACATGAATTATCTATACGATGACTGTAAACAAACTGCATCACAAAATGCAAAAGTTCATTGATATAGGAGGTGAAATCAATAAATTACATAAGAGTAACTTTTCAATATGCTATCAGTCAAAAAATAATATTTCAAGCTTACGCATAATAAAACTATGATAACTATATAATTAGAATTTCAGCAATTTAAGAAATGATAAAAACGAGTAAGAAGTTAATGGCTGGGCAAATTAAAAAATTAAAAAGAATATTATACACAATTTTAATGATTCTACTTTCAATAAAGCTTGATAAATCACTAGCCGTAGCAAAGTTCGCAATCTCTGCTTCAACAACACCATCTGAACTTAGAACTAAGCACTAATATAAGCTATTTATTCTTCTAATTTAATATATTATGAAACAATTTAGACAAATTTATTAGGTTTAAATGGAGAAAAATATATCAGCATAAAAATGTAAAATTAGCCCCCCCCCCAAAAAATTATTTAGACTAGCATTAATTCTATTGATTTTGAGGAATAGCAATATAGATTCTCTTCATCAGCACAGGAAAATATGCTAAATTTTGCAAAGAAATTTCTTACAATATAAATAAAAAATCAAAGCACCATAACTTAAAAAAACCACGAAGAATTGCACAATACCCTTAGCAATGAAAAGAAGCTTTAAATACATACAAGTTCATTTGCAAGTGAATATTAAAATATGGAAGTATGAGTTTTTTACTTAAAAATTATGCAAAATTAAGGCTAGTAATCCTCCATAACATTCATTACTATATGGAAGAAATTGTGCATACAGAAAATGATTACCTTTGCAGCTTCCACCATTTTAGCTGTAGCATCTGCTAGAACTTTTGCAGCTGCTAACAAACGTTTTTGTACATCAGAATCAGACTGTGAATCAGCTTCTCCTTTGATGGCTTGGATTAAGGTTGCAGTAGCCTACATAAAATGCACAATAATCGATAAGTATGAAAGAAAAATGGTAAATTTATGCAATTACTGATTAACTTTTAGAGAGCAGGAATGATTTAGCATGAAATACTTAAGTTTCCAAAATTTTTAAGTTCACTCAAATTTTGTTATCGTAAGTTTATAATACATCCTTTTTTTTAATAGCTTAAATTTTTCTCCATTTTGATTTTTCAAATATGCATAGTAGCAGGTTTCTTTACTTGCTGCTATTTTTATAATAAAATTGCCAAGTTCAACAAATTTAATCTATAAGTGGTCTTTTATTCATTAAAGAGAAAGGGAAAAAAAAAGAAATAAAAGAGTGTTCATACACTTTTTTTTTTTTTTAAACAGAAATTAAGGATGTCCAAGAATTTTTAAGGACTACCAATGAAAAAAGTAAAGACCTATCAACAAACATCTGAATAAATTAAAGCAATGCAAGAATCATTTTCAATACAGCAGAAATATACAGGAGGCATTATTATAAAACATGGTTGTAAAAACAAGTTAGAACATAAAGCACCAAAGTTTTAAAAGTAGTTAGCATCATGAATATTATTACTTGAGGCACATATTTTATACTTGTAATAGTCACATTTATTTTAAAGATGATCTGCACAGTCACCATTAAAACTGTTATTTTAAAAAATACTCCCCGCCAAAGCTCTACTAATATTCCAATTTAAGGAAATTATGCACTTTAAACTGACAGATAATTTCATACATATTTTTTTATACTGGTAAGATATTAGACCAATTACATATGAGAAGATACACAAAATTATGTATGTCTTCTTTAATCTGAAATTATTTTCAGATATTTTAGCTTATTTATATCTATTTCCTTTTTTTAAAATTACTTTTCAAAATTCATTTGCTTATATAAATAAATCATCTGAATCACCTGCTAACTAATTAGTATCTTCAACTATATTCCTTTGAAGAAAAATAAAATTTTTCTTTATGCAATCAGTTTCCTCCACAATAATTTTTCTCAACTTCGAAATTTCAGATTTAATTAAAAGATTTTTGTTCTCTGAATTTCCAAAATTGCAAGTATTTAGAATCTGCTATTCTTTAGTGATTTCATTATTGAGAATAATTCCAAAACTTTTTATGAAATGCTTAATGCACCGTCAGATATATAAATATATTTTAAATTGTCGATTTTTAATATTTCTATTAACAGTGAAATTTCTTTCTATAAATGATTATCCATATTGACAAGATTAGAAATTATTTTTGCAATTTTCCATACTTCTAAACAGAGAAATTCACAAAAATAAAGGAAAACAATATGCCAGGAGAAATATATTTGACATCAAAAGTAAGAAAGATATTACCTTGCTATTCTGGCCCCCATTATTTAAACAGTTCCAAGGATCCTCTTGCTGCCGAAGTGCATCAAAGAGGCAACCTTATTCAGTGTTCTTTACAAATCATCTCAAATAGCTACTTACAGTCAGTCCTCTCCCACCACGAGAACAACATTGAGTAGGGTTCTTGCTTTAGCAAACTTTTGTAAAAATTAGTGAAAGGTGGCAGATATGCATTAATCATGGATTAATAAATCTTAGTAGAACCTATACTTGAACAGAGACACTACCTCAATAGCCAACTAGCATCATTGATCTTTATTTTATTTTATATATATATATATTTTAATGCAACTGATAATTTCTTCTCTAAAATAATGCTCTAGATGGTAAATATCTGTGTTAGCATGCAGTGCTCCCCAAATTTAGGTTGTTCTAATATCAGCACAACACCCCTTTTTTCCCAGAACATTTCTCTCTTCCTTTTGTCCACTCCCTTAAAGAATTTCTGGATTTCCTGAATGGAAATCTGACATCTGAAGTTCAATCTCTGACTTTCTTCTTGGGCACAATATGTCAAAATATAGCCATAAGGTTGTGACTGAAGTCCAAGAAATAAGACAGAAACAGAATTTTTATCCATAAAGTTTTGAAAGGTTGGGTGAACAACCAATTATGCATCGTCAAACATAATTCTAGGATAGATAATAGTCTCACACTGTTTATAATGCTAGAATGCAATGGCTTCATTATCAGCCAGGAAGTTTGCATTCCATATTCAAGTGGTATGTTAATTCACACTCAGAATAGCAGTGACAGAACAAAAATGAAAACATCAGATGAGAAACATTCAGGACCATTTGTAAATTCGGGTTGAAATTAAAGACATTAAAAATTGTTTCAAAACGTCAAAGCACTTTCGAGGACCTTGAATCCTGCAAATCACAATTTCAAAACCATACGAAAATTTTCACAGCTACTTAAAAATATAATAAAACACTATTAAAAATACAGAGAAGTACATTCTCAGGATGAGAAATATCAAGAGCTATACAATATTTTTGTAGACACGCTTTTTATTTTTTAAAAATAAGAATTTGTAATGTAAATGCTATTTTTCTTTCAATGAAATTTATAAAGTAACATTACATATATATATATATATTTCTTTTCCTTATGGAATAAATAAAGTTTAGATTGCATACGAGTTGGTATATGGAAACATAAATGCTATTTTCTTTCACTGGAATTTATAGAAGTAACATTATATACTTTCCCCCCTTTTCCTTATGGACTAAATAACTAGTGAATAAATAAAGTTTAGACTCCATACAAGTCAGTATATGGAAATATAAAGTAACTCATTCCTCAGATTAAAAATAAAATGTGTGGATAAAAACTTATTTTTCAGAATTAATTTTACTAGCTAATAAAAACACATACTGTTGCCAATATTTTAGCTTGGCGAACCATTTCTCCAGCATCACCACTACTGCTGAATAATTTGTCTGTAGCATCTAATATTACATCCACAGCACCATCATGAACAGAAGCTTGAGCACGCTGTTTTGGTGCTGTTCTTATATGATTCAGCAGATCATTCAAAGCATCTTCAACCTGGCCACTTGCTTGATTCATGTCACTCAAGAGGGCTTTATCCTTAGTGGCTTCCTAAATAATAATAATCATAAATAATATCTACAGCAACAATAAAAACTTGAAACTTATAAACACATATAAAAAATACACGGCACTCCTAAGTGAGGGAAACAAAATGTCTACTTATGAAACTTAACCCTTTCCAGATGGGCATCCACATAGTAGCTTTTCTCATAGCTGAGTGTCGCACACACACATCACTGATGAGTGAATGTAAGAGATGGATGATGCATACATGCATTTTAAGTTGAAACATTTTTCAGTCGATGGCATCCTATGTCCATTATTTTTTAACGGAATATAGTTTTAGGAAGCTGACATTCAGTTTGACCACATTCTGCGTAACATTGGCATCAGCTGATGTGGGGGAGCAGGGAAAGCATAAAGTAACAGACTTCAGCTCTTTAGGTGTCACATGATCTCAACCATTCACATTTCCGATATTTCTTTAAATCCTTTTTTAAATTCTTTTGATGCTACTATGTAGGGTCTCTTGGGGTTACTAGGTGGGATTCTATTACACTCTGCATTGTTTTTATCACTTATATTTTACATACTTCCCTTTTTATTCCATATAGCCTTCTTTATTATGGCAAGCGTTATTTATCACAGGAAGGATATACTCGCATGGTTAATGAGGAAATTTGTGACATGGATGAGAGTGGAGATAGAGAATTAGCGAATGACACTTCTAGTGATTCTCATACGGACATTTTGTCAGAGACTGAGCTTGTGCCTTCCACTTCTTGTGAAAGATTTTGTTACTTCTTCTTGTTAAATAGTCTTTCTCATATTTTTTATTAATTTTAAAGTTTACAAATATATTTTTCAATTAAAACTTTGCAATAATTCGAAAAGCACTTCTCAAAATTATTTCTCAAAGTAAGCAACTTTTTTTTGGGGGGGTTTATATATTTTCACATAAAGTAAAGGAAAATGATTATTAAATTTATGCTAATTTTAAATACATGATAGCTTAAGTAATAATCTAAAATAGTACCAAAAATTATGATGTCCGGAATTAAAATTCCCCCCCCCTTAAGTTAGGCTTATGGATGCAAAACTCCTGTCCAGTGCGACGAATATTTTTGACTCCCATTCGTCTTTACAAAAGCACACCATCTCAAAAGGGTTAAAGAAATAAAACCTTATAATAATTTTATTACACTTTAGTGATAATATCTAACACAGAACATTTATTAAATAATTACATTGCAGGCTTTGTTAATGCCATCTACAGCCCTCGATACTTCTTTAGCTGCTTCAATCAGCTGGTGTTGACAAGTTGGATTTGTTATTGTTGGTGCAACAACCTAAAAAATAAAAGAGTTATGTGTAAACTTATAAAAATAATAGTTAACTATAATTATGGGGGAACTGAGGGATCAAGAAATACTTTCTAAAATTAAGCCTCTCCTTAATGATACATTTTACCTAAAAAACTTTTACATTACCAAGTATAATGAATACCTTGCATATCTAGATGCTAAGCATTTTGCAGAATACAAATACAAGGTAAACAAATAAAACAAAAAATTTTGTGTGAGAACATATCTTGTACAGCTCATAAAAATATAATATTATGAAATAATTATTTTCCTATCTAGTATTTTCAAAGCAATGAGTATAAATTTTAAATATTTTTATTTATAATCAAAATTTTGATAGTACCACAAAAGGTATTAACACCAGGCTGCTTTTTCTTTATAAATTTTCCACATGAAACTATTACAGACTTTGGAATTAGGCAAAATGCAACTATACACTGGTGAAGGCTAATTTTATCAATGAAGTTTTCATATTTCTTTGATGTGTATTATTAAAATAGCTAACTAGTCTTTTTTTTTTTTGGTCCCAGAACTTAATTAAAATTCGATGAAATACAATTTAATATTATAAAACCTGGGCAATATCCTAGATGCTAATATCTTCTACAAGAAGGACGTTTTTCAGACTTTTAATAAGATGTCTGTCTAAATAGTAGCTTTCACTGTCCTTACAGTTACCAACATTCCTCAAAAATACAATAAAGAAATGAAATCATTACTTGGGTGTTTGCGATGATATGCAGCTGGGACGAATGTGCTCTCATATTTAAAAAATTATATAATATATGAAATAGGGGAAAATTTAGGAAAATATACACGAGAGCTATTGACGATACTATTGACAACAAAATGTTGTTAAAGCTGTAAAATTACAGCCAGATTTTTAGTCATTGCTTTTATTAATTTAAATATAAAACAAATCTGAAACTTATGTTTTATAAGAATATATGGCAGAAATGAAGCACCTACTTTGGCACAAGCAACAAGTTGTGATGTGGTTAATGCACACTGTGTTGCAGCAGTAATAACTTTATTTTGTTGAGCTTGATCTTCACATTTACTAGCAACATTTTTTGATTTAAGTACTAAGTTTGCAGTAGCATTTGCGACACGTTTGGCCAGACCCAGTAAAATATCCTAAAAAATAGAGTAAAACAAAATTGACAAATAAATGTGTCATTTAAAATGAAAGAAATATCTATTTTCACAATATAAATTACCTTTCTAATACTTTTACATGACCTAATTTGCATTCCTGATTATTAAAACTGGAGGCTCAGCAACTCCACAACTCTTACTCCGTAAAATGTCTCTGTCATATGGAAATTTCTGTACTATATTTCAATTTTATTTGGTGATTTTATCTTTTGTTAGGTAATTTCATTTCAAGTTAAAGGAATCATTCTATAACATTTTGACAACATTAACTGATTTGTTGATCACAATAAACTAGACATTTCCAATGTTTTTATATTCAAATGGGCAGAACTTTGGCGGTTCATAACAATATCCAAATGAGAACATTAACCAATGTGCCTACTCTAGTAATTTTATTGCAGAGCTAATTTTTGAAATTTATTTACAAATTTATTTGTAATTTATTCCAATGATTTTTTTATACTGATTATTATTTTTTTTAAAAGCAGCAAATACAAAATTATTGGCCTCTTCCTAACTTAAAGGAATTTAGGTACTGCTCCAACTGACGATCTACCGAATTCTGTTATTTACTTAATTAGTTTTATACTAGATGGCGCCACTTCTTTTTCAGATTATTTTGCCTGCAAAAGCAATGTTTATGCTTATCATTTCTTTCACATGCAAATTTTCCATTGAATTTGCAAGGAGTTTTTAAAATGATCTCTTTGAATTTTTGTTATTAAATTACTCTCAAATAGAATTTTTTTTTTAACATTTACATAACAAAAAGTTGAAGCAAATGAAATAACTGTTATCTTAAGTGGCAACAGTGTTCTCTATTAAATTCATTATTTCTCTCATTTTAATACTCGGCTTACAAAAAATTGTTTGTAAATAGGTTTTGAAACAACTAAATAGAGCAGTACAAAATCGGGTGTATTCTGTCTTACCGCTTATCTGTTTCATTCACTGTATGCATGAAATTCTTGATATAACCTATATCCATAACACTCAGGGGCTACTGATAAAGTTATATTAATATTGAGTAGTATTAATATATAGTACAGTCAAATACCAAAAATCCGCCGACTCGAAATCCGCGTTGACTCTCAGAATATAAACATTCCGTTTATAGGTTCTGGAAACCACAACAATAAGCACAAAATAGCGAAGAAAAAAATACTTATCGAATAATGACGTCATAATTACCAAATAATAATGAGTCAAAATGGAAATACCAAATTATTTATATAAAGTGTTAAAAAAATAAGATAAAATAAATACGATAAGTTTTTTTTCCCTCTAATCTGCATCGAGGTAAAAAAGCAGGCGATTCACTCAACTCTTTGTTCAAGTCCACGTTGTATTTTCTGAGCTTTGTTATTTCATTTCACACGATTGTTTAGTGCTGCCTTTTTTAATCTGGATATTTTGTGGGTATATTAAGAATATTTTAAATTTCAGCCCTTTTTAATACAATCACAGATAAGAAACGCACTCGTGATTTTACTGTTTGCAACGTTGAAAAACGAAAACACGTTGCATCGGCAGGAACGCAAAAAGTGCAAATTCTGCAAAAGATGGAAGCAGGTACTACTCCTCAATTTATAGCAGAATGGTATGGAATTGCGACACGATTGTGCATAATATACGGAAAAATAAAGAAAAGCTGTTGAAATTTTACAGCAACAGAGATTCTAACACCAGATTTCGAAACCGGAAATCTTTGCATGAGGCGAAATCGGCAAACCTCAATGTTGAGTACATATAATACAATGAATAATATAATCAATTTATATATGTAATAATTTAATGCATATAATAAATTATTGCAATAATGTATATAATAATTTAATTAAATGTATCTAATACGCCTTATTCATTTTGCACTTTCAGTCCAAATATTATGCTTTATCTTCTCTTTCCTGAAATCCACAAAATCCTAAAATCCACACAACCTCTGGTCCCAAGCTTTGCAGATTTCTGGAATTCTACTGTATCGAGTTATACTGATATCGAGAGAATTTTAGTTATATTAATATCGTGCAATTCATTAAAACATTTAAATCAGCTAACCTAATTTAAAAAAAAAAAAAAAAAAAAAAAAAAAAATCACCCTTTTATTTGCACACTGAAAGTTGTCTTACAAGCAGAATAAAACACAGCAAAAGAAATAAGTATTTTTCAAAACATAAAAAATTATTAATATTAAATAATAATAAATCTGATCCTGCAAATTTGAATAAAATGGTGGAAGGAAAAAAATGTGTAAAAACAACAGTTTTTGTGGCACCACATATCGATCCACAAAGTAACTACACAGTTAAGTAAGGTAGATCAGGAGAATACCAGAATTTACCTTTATTAAGAATTTATAAGAAAAATGCCATAAAGCAATCCTATCCCCCAAATTCAGGACAGGATTGCTAAATTTTTAGAAAAGCTGTTTTCCTAAGCAAAATAAAATGGCTGTGCATTATTGTGAGTACCCACAAGCGTTGATAGACGATATCTTTGAAATTTAAAATATTGTTACGGGGTAAAAAATACTACGATGAAGAAAAATCTGTGAATGTATAAGTAACATATCACATTGTCTTCCACTTAAACAGAAATCTTACTTCCATTTTTTGGTGGTCAGTATTTCATGCTTTAAATCTATAAACACTAAAACATTTTTTATTCCTTCTTTTACATTTAATGAAAATGTGAATTTTTCATTTGATTATTTTAATTTTTCGCAAAATTTTCATTATTTAAACAATTAGCTAAAAAATTAGTTCAAGGAACAACAGAAAACACAGAAGAAATTTTTATAAGAGTATTCAAATTATGTTTGTCTTATATTGAAGATCATTTCATTTAATTCTGACATTAGGTCTTTCTTTTACTAAAATTCAGAATTTCTACCCAACTGCTAACTCATGGAACTCATCTATTTCTAAGATAGAATTACCTTAATGAACAGAAACTATGTCTGGGAAAGAAAATGCGTGAAGTGTAGATGTACACTATAAAAACATAAAAAAATACCTGTATTTCTTTATCAATAGCATCTTCCTCACCGATGTTACGAAGAACTGCATGACTTGCTTCTCCAACTCTGCCGGCTGCATTTAACAAGTTTTGGCGAGGCTACGAAAGTAGAATACAATTTAGCATATAAAAGGAAAAATGTATTTAATAGAATAAATGCACATTAAATATGATTTCGCTCAAACACTCACTTCTTTAGTTTCTGGTTCTGCTGCTTTCAGGAGATCAGAAAATGCAGAACACAGATTTCTAGCAGCATCTAGAAGGTTTTCACCCTGTAGGTCATCATCCATTAATGCTGCAATCATCTTAACATCTTTTGACATTTCAGACAAATTTGTTGTTCTAAATATGAGAACATATTCATAACATAAGACACACCAATACTGAAAATTTTAAAATGTTCAGAGGATATTACATGATATCAAGTGTTTTAAATAACTTTTAAGTCTTTTTTTTTTTTTTTTTTTTTTTAATTTAAGGTTGAAAGAATTTTATGCAAGTTAAAAAAAAAAGTAAACTAAAGCTAAACATAATGTTGAAACTTCAAATTTATAAATATCTGGTTATCTGGTTGGTGCACATGAAACATAGCATTTTAAGGATGACCCACATATTGTAAAACACTGTATAAAGTTTTGTGACAAAAAGTTAAATCTGTAGTACAGATGAACCAGCTTTGTTCTTAATACTAGATGTATCTAGGAAAAAAAACTTATTTTCCTAGTATTTACCAATTCTATGTCCTACAAGATGTATGTCAAACAAATAATTATTGTGATCCAATAGAAAAATTTAGACACAGTTTCATGGCTGTAACTTGCAACATTAAAAAATAAATAAATAAATAATGACAGTGATATAAGTGGGTGATGATGGTTTCAAAGTTTCAATCAGGAGAAAAATCACTTCAAAACGAGCCCCAAATTAAACTTGAAAGTCCTTGTGATGGCATTTTAAATATTTTATATGACAACGACCCTAATAAAATTTCTTGAGATTCAACATGCAACCATATTACATCTTGTGCAACCAAGCACCTATCAGCTTTCTGAGAATAACAAGTTGGAATGCTAAAATGTTTATAATAACTGATTGATACTGGCAACAATTAAAAAAATACACAACAACTAAAAGGCAGAGAAAGCAAACTTCACCCCTATGAACAAAGCCAGGATATTTTTAAATCTTACACATTAAAAACAGTTTTAAAATTCAATGATTCAGATTTTACAGCATTCACCATATTTAATACTGCATAGATTATTATTTCTTTAAATATTTAGATATAGTCTTAATCTTAATAATAATATATTATTAAAGGAAAAAATTTTTTTCAAAAAAGTAAAGAGGCTGCTATGGTCTTCACTCAGTCATAAAATTCAAATTTTTACAAATATGATATTTACAATTTTGCTACTTGTTGGTAAATATGCATGCAAACAGATGGGAACTATTTTGTTCAATATAATTTTGTTTTCTAAAAATTAAAAAATTAGGTTTTTCCTCACTTAACATCATTACATTAATAAATCAACTAACTAATTTTCAGAACACAGCTGTGCAAAATATGCATGGTTTCCAACAGCTCAAAGAGGAAAAATTAGAGAACGAGAGCAGTTTACAAAATGCATACCAACAAAAAAAAAAAAAAAAAGCTACACTGAGCAAAACAGTAGCTCAGATGCACTCAGATTTGTCTTCCAACTGCAGTGGTGACTATGAACTCGGACCGTTTATTCTGAAATTGCAAGTTACACCTAAGATACATACATCTTTAATGGTTACATTTAGTGAGTAATTAAGTCATCTTCCCTTTTCCCCCTCCCATACCGACATATTTTCACAAACTGATTTTCTATTCTGCTTCTAACATTTTCCCTAGTCTTAACTAATATAAAATTTTTTGTTGTTCAGAAATTTTTCATTTTCTCAATAACTGTCTTGCATCACAAATATAGTGCCCGCCACTATTTTTATCACATAGTATTTAAAAGCTTAAGTCAGGTGATTTTTAAGAAGATAAAATTTTAGAAATAGGAAGGCTCATTTGCAGCCTATGAAGTTGTTTGGGGAAGATGTTGATTCATGAAGGGGGAAAAACAATTGATTCATACCTCAACTAGAAAAAAATTGTTAACATGGATTTTACTCTACAATATACCGCTCCCCCCCCAATATTTTGTCCTCTTCTAACGAGTAGGTTAAAACATTAAAATCTCTTACTTTGATGTGAATGAAATAAAAAAAAATGTATAATATATATTTTATAGCATATTTTGCATTACTTCATTCAGAAATGCAATGTATAGAACATACTATACTATATTTAAAATTGGTAATGATATACAATAAATAATTTATTATACTTATGCATCTGTTTTCACATTTTGGAGGTAAATATTGGAACATTATTGCATATTACAGGGGCATTATTTTACTTTTCTTTGTGTGAATAACTGTTACTAATACCTATTTTGCAAATATCTAAAAAAAATTCATATAAGCAACAATAATTTAGATACTCACAATAGCATTTACACTATGTATAAATTTAAAAAAAGAAGGGGGCTTACATAGTTGTCACAGCTGCTCCAACTGCTGGATGATCAACTTCTTCAGGGGGTCCTAGAATCAGAAAGAAAAAAATTAAATATAAAAGTACATTTAAACTGCATACATTTTACAATAATTAACTAAACATTTGCAATATACTGCTTAAACAATGGCTGATTTACAAACAATGCATAGTTATATAAAAGAAAACTATATGTAGTAAACAAGTATTCAATTTGTATATTATAAGCAAACTATATGTAGTAAACAAGTATTCAATTTGTATATTATAAGCAATCTGGCAATGGTGCAAAAACTATTTATACAAAACAACATATAAAAAATACATATATGCCTTTTTACCTCTCGGTGAAATTTATTAAAACACTGCAACTAAATATTTTTAATATTTCACCTAAATTAGTATTGGTGAGAAAGAACAACTTTATTTACAGTTTAAAAATAATTGACTAACAAAATAATTTTCTTCATGATTAGATAATTTCATTTTTATTAAAATAATATCACTTTTGTTGATAAGATAGATTCATTTATGATGATAAGATAATCTATGGATAGCCTGATAATTCCTTTACGATTAATAAAATACTTCAGCTGGACAGATTTGGCAAGGTGCAGTAACTAGAGGACGTTTCAGAATTTTCAAAAGCCCCAAATTATTACTAAAAAATTATAATAAATAAATTCCCCATGTCAGCTTTTTATGAATAATTTTAATTATTTGGCTGGGGAAAAATATTCCTTCACATGAAATTTATATTCTCAGATATCACTACATATAGTACCTAAAAACAAAATAATTCTCAAATATAGTTTTGAATCAGAGGGATATTTTACATTTATCATAGAAATTAAAAATACTTAAAAATTTTGAAATAAATATCAAGCCAGATTCAAAGCTATATTAAATTTTTATATTTAAAAGAATAATATGTTATCTAATCATATGAATTGATGTAGTTTTGCTTCAACTTCCCACAAAATTAGCATTACAGTAGCACCCCAAATTTACACAAAAGACAGGACCAACAAAAAGCATGTAAGTTGAGGGTCCAAGTTTGTGTATAAAATATGTATGACTTTTAATTAACCCTTTCAGGATGGGTGTTCCATATAAGCATTCTGTAAGAACGTCTTTTACAGCCGGGCGTTCCATCCACGCATTACTAGAGATTGCATTCAGAGCACGGGTGATGCGTATATATGCATTTTAAGCTGGAAACTTTTTCTGAAGGTCACTAGATAGCATCCTATGTCCATTACTTTTGAAACGAACACAGTTTTAGGTTCCTGACCTTGAGTTTGATATATCCTGCCTGACTTGTGCTAATATAAGCATTCACGTGTCTGATTTATATTCCAATTTCTTTTTTTATTCTATTTTTCCCCCTCTACTATGTACGGTCTTTTAGTGTTACTATGTGGAGTTCTGTTATATTTTGCATTGCTTTCAGATATATTTACATTTCTTCTCTTTTTATTCTGGAAAGCCTCACCTCCAGTCTATTATGGCGGAAAAACGCTATTTATCAGAGGAAGAACACTCTCATATGGTTAATGAATCATTTGCTAATGCAGATGAGAATGATGATTCATTTTCTAAAGAGTTAGAAAGTGATACTTCTCCATGCTTCGAGATTTACCACACTCAGTCTTCATTTTAAATTTTGTTACTTCTTACTGTAAATAAGTCTTTACTGTGTTGTTTTATTAACTTTAAACTTTATTGATGGATTTTATCAATTAAAACTTTGGAATAATGTGAATAGCGCTTCCGAAAATTATTTTACAAGATAATTTTCATGTAAAATAAAGAAAAAAAAATGTTATTAAGTGCTAATTTTAACATATATAAGAGCTCCAGTAATAATCTAAAATGATACCAAAAATTACGATGCTAGAAGCAAAACTTTTTTTTTTTTTTTTTATAAAATTAGGATTAGTGATGCAAAACCTCTATCCTGTACGGTGTCTGCCTTCGATTTTCTGTCCCGCATGAGCGTTTTAAACAAAGGTGCACCATCATGAAAGGGTTAAACAGGGCCAAAGGATAAAGAAAATTCTTTGGAAAACAGTACATAATGAACAATACCGTTTTAATATACATTTACACAAACTAATATGCTATATAATATGCTATAACACACGTGCTATATAAAATGGAGTTATTTCAATGCCAATGACTTTATAAAATCTAACAAACTTCATCTGATGACTCAAAGAGACTGTTTTTATTTCATGTAATTTCTTCCATTTCCTCATAACTAGAACACGTTTCCCATAAGAATCTATGTTCTCCAAAATCTGTAACACTTTTTCAATTCAGCCAAGACTGTCTGCCATGCTTGCAACTGTCGTACATTTTTCTGCTGGATTCAGACCTGAGGTTTTGATTTCTGTAATGATTTATTTGAATCCACTTGACTGACATTTGATTCATGATAGTATTTCTCTCCATGAGAGAATTGATGAAGACAAAATTATAGAGGACACACATCAAATGCTAATACAATGTCAGCACAGATATTGATACACAGATACACTCTAATCTCGCAGCATGTGAAATTATTCATGTGGTGGGTGACAACCAGGAGCGAGAAATAAGGCACCCTTTAATTTATAGCTTGTGTAAGTGTTGGGGTATTACTGCAATGTAATGATTATATTTAATCATTTTTAGCATAAAACAGTAATTTTTGTGACTTTCCTTAATTTATATATGTCAGTATATTAATATATTAGTAGTATGCATATAATATTTGGTCTTTTCATATTTGAAGCTAAAATCAGAGATCAATGCTGTATTTTATATTTATTCAGTTTGATATTTCTATCTAAGAGTGTTATGGAACAGGTACCAGGTGATTTAATTTGTTAGGCTATAATACCAAATATGTATATAATATGATATCAAATATGTATATATACAAAAAACAATCACCATTTCATGATACAAAACAGTGGCATATGTCATATTAAGCCACACATAGAAACTAATAGGTAGAAAGGAATCTGTCAAATTAAATTCTGCTGCACATTAAATACTGCAGTGTATATATATGCAACTTCTAACTTTTAAATCTAGTGTTTAAGCTAATAACCAATGAATAAAATTCAACAGTTCTCTTTCAGTTATCAGATTTCATTGGAACCATACTTTACTCAGACAACAAATAATTAGGTAATACCCTCCCCCCCAAAAAAACTACCATAAACATCATATAAATGTTATAAATTGGATTAGAAAGTTTGTATGGATGTAGTACATAAATATTCATTAAGCATTTAATATAATTTTAATTTTCTCGCTCATATTCATTTTTGTTTCTATTATCTACCAATTTTTTTTAACACTTAATTTGTTACAAATCCAATTTAGTATTGTTTCAGCGGGCTCTTCACTGCCAAAACATTTCATTGCTTTTAAAATAATTTCAATACATAACAAGTTTTGCTTCTCCTTGTTGAGTTCATCATTCCAAAAATAACTAATGTTAAAAAAGAAATATGAACAAAAAATATGTATGTAAAATGAAATAAAAAATTCGTAAATAACAATTAATTCTCAAGAGCTTACAAAACCGAGATTTAACACATTTTTAGCTTTACTTTCATATATTTTAACTTCATTTTACTTTTCGGATGGTCTTTCAATACAGTGCACTGCACTTTTTTGAATTGGCTAATGAAAACTTGATTTTTGAACATCTTGATGAAAATATGACTGAATAAAGCAAATGCATTGCTTTTGCGTATTTTTCATGACCAATTTTTTGATGCTGAATAATAAGATAGAAATAATATAAAACTATAATATATATTACGAACAGAAAAACATATATTCATAATAAAGAGATATATTTATCATATCATTTAGTTTAAATATGGTGTATAGACAAGTATATATATATTTCACGTATAAAACTGCTTCATAGGCATACATGAAGTGAAAATATGGTACACATTTAGAAGAGAGTAAGAATTAAAAGACTAAGTAGATAATATTAGAAATAACAGGTGGGATGATCTACAAAATATCAGATAATTTAAAGTGCCCATATATCCGAAAAGTACATTGCTTATCAACCAAAATACGGCACAAATTTAGAAGATAAGCAAGAATTAAAAGACTAAATAGATAATATTAGAAATAACAGGTGGGATGATCTGAAAATATCAGATAATTTAAGGTGTCTATATATCCAAAAAGTACAATGCTTACCAACCAAAGTAATGATGCAAAGGAGCAACTTAAATGAAAATTTCTTTTGCATTTCTTAGGCAATTAGTAAAATCATTTTAATTCTAAATACCTAACTATAATACTATAATACTAAAGTAAATTTTTACCTGAAGTTAGGGTAATAACTTGAGCAGTTGCAGCATTCATAGCAGCAAGCTGAGATGTTACATTTTGTTTTTTTACATCCATTGTATTTTGTTTCCACTGGATAGAAGCAGGATCTTTTCCAAGTTCTGGCAGATGGATTCGTTCAGAAAGATCTGCATGAGTACGATCCACAGAACTTCTGCCAGCACTGATTGTACTGAGGAGAGCTCTCTGTGGTTCTGACATAGTGCTGTGAACTTTAGGATGTTGAGGCTATTAAAGATTGACAGGAATACACTATTACCTTTGATAAATTAATTAACTATATTTCTTGCAAAATAAGTGGCTTTTTATCAGGTTTCACTATTAGAAAGATGAGCTAACATATGTTCACGTAATTTATTAAACGTTTCATAGCTCCTTATATTTGCAAACAGAAATTTAAATTTAAGAAGACTTGTCTTAACTATGATTTTTAAATGATAAAAATTCAGAATTATGGTTTCATCTTTAAAAATCATTTGATGCAGTATTAAACTATCATCTAATTTCTTTAATATTATCTCAAACTATTGTTTGTGACCAGTTATCAATTAATAGAAAACGCTGTACAAAAACTAATGATACCATCCCAATTGCATTATTTAATAATTTTTTCCTTTCCCCGCTCATGAGCAGAAAAATTTAATAAAAGTAAACAATAATTATCAAAATAATTTTTGTGCATCTCATTTATTGACAAAATTTGCTGATATTTAGTGGAGATATATATAATATGGAACTGAAAATTTTTGAATCAATATAAAAATGTGGTATAATTTTTATTTGGTTTAAAGCATTAAAACAGATGATATCAATTTCAGCTAAAAATGGATTTAATACGCTTTTAAAATAGTAAATGGGAATGCTCACTTTACCTGGATTGCTGAATATGCACTATGCGCAGTTTCTTTCACTTCAACATTCTGAGCTCCTTGTGTCTGACCTGTTCCATATGGTCGTGGCCCTAAACAAATAATAGAGAGTTTAAGAAGCAAAGAAAAACAATTTGTATTACCATACACTGCATATAAGAGACTAATTACTAATAACAATCATAAGTTCATTTTACTTAACACTTAAAAGACTTCATTCAAAAGTACACAGCACTGATTATGACATAAATCACATGGATTCCTTTAATGAGAAATACTACAACAGTACATTAAAATGAAAACTTTATAGGTACATATTTCTTTAAGCTTTTTAGCTACATTTAAGAATATGGTACTTGTCAATTTTAATGAAAACTAAGCACCGAAAAAAAGTCTCTAAATTTAGGTACCATATATACCACTCTAGAAAGCACTTTTAATCATGGAATTTTAACAAAAATGTTAAAAAAATAATAATAATAATAATAATAATAAGGGGAAAAATGTAATCATGCCAGTTTTCAAATTCAAGTATAGAGTAAAATACCCCCTTCTTGAAAGAATGCAATAGCTTCATTGCTAAACTGGAAATTGTCATTATTTAATTTTGAATCCGAGGAAGAAAAAATAATTCTAATAAATGAGGGAGGGGAGGATTTAACAATCCTTATTATTGGATTTGGCAAAGTGTTTGTATTTAAATGCTGCTACATTTGGTGACTAATTGCTGATCACTGGTAAAACTGATGAGTATCAAAAATACTTAAATAATTCTAAATACAATCACAATGTATACACGTGCTCAAATTTCCACAATTTTAAAATAGACATAGAAAAAGGTCTCTACAAAATTTAATGAGAGAATTTTTAAAATAAAAATTGAAACAGTTAAATTTACAGAAACTTCAAGTAAAATTTTTATACATTTAATGAACAAATACTGCATTCAACAAGATTTAAATGCACAAGTTTTAATGCTCACTAAAAAAAAAAAAAAAAAAAAAAAAAAAAAAAAAAAAATCAAAATTACCATTGGCATCAGCTCTTAGAACACCAGGAATCACTACTGAACCAGATACTGCATGAGAAACTTTAGTACCAGGATTACTTTGGAGGAAAGTAGCTCTGAAAAAGAATATCGTTGAAAAGTCAATTTATTATGTGTTAATCAAAATACTATTATAAAGATATGAATTTTAATTGAAAACATATACACAACAATATTCTGCTAAAATAAGTTAACTGGAATGAAGTGTTTTCAGATAACCCATTTCATACTTGTTTTCATAAAACTTTCATATATACCATTTCTGACGATAACATTATGTTTGAATGCCTGCTGCATAAAATAAAATTTATAAGTTCTTTTGTGAACCTTTTGTTTTCAATCAAATCACAAAATAAAACATGCCTGTAATTCTCTATTGCCCCCTTCCCAAACAGATTTTATATGGCCTTCTTTTTTTCCTTTTTTTAGTTGTCATTTTCAAGCAATATTTGATGGATGTTATTAACAAAGTACACAATGAAACTTAAGAGCATTTCAAAGGCATAAGCACTTAAGTCCCTCCCTCCCTAAAGAGAAGTAGCATAATAATTTAAAAAGAATATAAAATTAAGAAACTGCAACATCTTACAAAGTTTCAAAATCCTCTTCTAGAATACTGTAAACATCAAAAACAGTCCATGACAAATGCATACACAGTATGTCAAAATTTATCCAGGAAATACAGCAATATCTCTTTTTCATTTTTAGTAATTTGTCATCTTCAAAACTCTCTTAATACCAAGCAAATTTTATTTGATATAATGTATCAATTAATACAGATATTAATAATGTATCAATAATATATTAATAATATATCAAAGTCATTGCCTGGATACTGACTTAATAATCTATTACGATACACTGCCTAATAGAGGAAATGCTACATTGTAAAAAAGCAAGTAGAATATGATGAAATTTGGTAGGCAGAAAACGCATATGTAAATAAATGATTTTAATTTTTTAAAAAATGCAATACAACAGAATATACAGGATGATTAGTAGGCAGTAAGAACATCCCTTGCGATGTAAGAACAATCCCTCCAAAGTACAGATGAGATCACAAAACAGATCCCTGAAAAAACTGTTAATACACTGATAACCTTCAGTGATGATAACTATATTATTTCAACCATCATCCACAATATATCTTCCAGTTCAGGTTGGGCCAGATCAAGCAAACAGCCCCAAATGCCTCATGAATGCTCAGTTAGTGACAGATCTAAATGGCCAAAAAAAGCATCAGAATACCTTGTATGCCTTGTCTGTGCTGATGACTGCCATATGCAGTTTTGAGTTATCTTGCTCAAAACAGCATTCTGAAAACAGGACAGTGTGACACATTGCAGAATTCATTCACATAGAATCATGTCTTTGATATGAACCAAAGGTGACATTAAACAACATTTTATCATAAATCCATTGTGCTGTCATTGCATCTCGCCACCCAGTAGGTACAATGGTGAGTGACAATAACTTCTGTACCAATGGGCCTAGGTTCAAATTTCGGAGTTGTTTGTAAATGTATAGATAGTGCCTGTGTGGCAAGACAGCATTCAAAATACACATCTACTCTCGAGAGGTTGATGGTAAGGGAAGAAGGGTGGGAAATTCTTGGATAAGCCCTGGAGTGTTCTCCCTCAAGATTGTGACAGAACTGCATACCCAGTAAAATGGGACTGCACCAGTACAACTAATGGTGAAATTCTGGTGTCCCGCCCACTTCTATTTGTACTTTCATTGTACCTTTGACACGAGCCAGAGGTGACAAGCTATCCATAATTATGGTGCCACAAATCATGATACATTATCGAGCAGTATGAAGTCCTGCAATCACAGCAGAAATTGAATTGTCTCAATGGATTTTACCAGCATTATTTTAGCCACGATATGATGGAAGGGCAAACCAGCCAAACAGAAACTCATGTAAATGTTGGATTGCCGAAAATGACTTTCTTTAAGGTTTAAAATTTATTACAATTATATTCTCAATAAAACCTAACTTATTATTCACAAAAGATTGTTCTAAAATGAAAATAGTGTTTCCCAAAACATCTTAATATACACATTTTGATTGATTTTGACCAGAAGGCAAAAAAGGTTGCTGATGCCTGGTCTAGATATATAGGAAGCCTGGCATGATTTACACTCCTTTCTTCAATTCAACTTCTCTAAATCCTTTGCTCTGGATGCTTTGCAGATTTATTTTAGCTGTGATATGATGGAGAGGAAAACCAGTCAAATCAAAACTCTTTGTGCTCCTTAGATTGCCGAAACTGACTTATATGGCCTTTGCCCAACTTACCTCTTCAACTGCTTTGAAACAAAAAACAGCTCAAATAGGTTTCCCATGGTGGTAGAGATTATTAGCTATTGACTCATCTGATTTTCCTTTACTTTTCTCTTGCCAACTTATCACATGACAAACTTGCATTTCAAATTATTTACATGTCCGATTGCCGAAACTGACTTATATGGTCCTGCCCAACTTATTTCTTTAAATTGCTTTGAGACAAAAACAGCTCAAATGGGTTTCCCATGGGGGCGCAATTACCAGGTATTGACTCATCTGATGTTCCTTTTCTTTTATCTTGCTAACTTATCACATGACAAACTTCAAATTATTTACGTAAATTGTACATTTGCATGTTGATTGCAGTTTGCAGAATTCTAAAATTAAATCTTCACGCTGTTACATTTTCTTTATCTGGCAGTGTATTATAAAATGTACTTATCAGTTAAATGATAAGACAATGAAGAAACGATTGAGAATACAGATGACTGGGTTTCAGATTTATCGATTTTTATATACAAACACATATAGATCTTACATATATATGTATTATATACTCCTTAGATACTTTCAATAAATTTTTTCCTTCCCAACTGATATTATTTTACCAACACTTGGAAATACATCTAAGTATGTACTTTTAGCATTTCCCAAAAGATAATGCATGTAGATTCTTCTGTATACTACACTTTAATTATAACATGGAATAATTTTAAAAAAAAAAAAAAAAAAGCTCTCCCGCAAAGATGGAGTACACTAGTTCAATATTATCTTTTGAACATAATTAAAAATACTGGGAGCAATACTTAAAAATTCTATAGTTTTACAGTAATTTTACTGCAAACTAATACAGTCAAAAGTCGTTAATTCGGACACCCATAATCCGGAATGATCTATAATCCAGAGCTAAAAACTTTCTGCGCATGCGCAGCGTTGGCACATGCGCACAGGCGTTTTACGCGTGCGCGTAAGACCTTGACTACTGCGCATATGCGTGTGCGCAAATGCAGATTACGTTTTTCGCCTGCGCGTTTAATGTATAACGGATGGTGTAAGCTAAAATTATCTAATTATCTATTTCAGTTAATGTTAATGATTGCATTGTTCCTTAATCCTCGAATTGGATCCCACTTATTTATTTTTTGCAGACTGTAAGAGCATTTTTATAAAAGTAAACTTGAACTTTCGATTATGTCAAATAGAATTTCCGATGTTGGAACTTCCAAAGGATCTACAAAACGAAAGTATGTTTCGATGTCCAACAAACAAAAAGTGGAATTGCTGCAAAAAATGGATAATGGCACGAAGAATGTGACAGAGAGGTTAGTGAAAACGAAAAAATTTCGATTGACAAGTTAGTCGGTATTCTCGGCACAACAATTAACGAGACTTGAACAGCGGAACTTTGTAACTGAACAAGAAATTATGTCTTTTTATAGAATTAAAGAGAAAGTATTATCACATAAAATGAAGCAACTTAAACAACTTACATTGAGAGAAATGTTTAATAAAGTAAACAAATAAATATTAAGCTTTTTTTTTTTTTTTTTTTTTTTGCAACGAACTGGATGTTGATCTGTCAGCACTATCGTTATCTTCAGAGTAGATGTTTTTATTTTATTCAGCTTATAATTCCTTACTAAATGTAGTATTTCATCTCGATGTATTCCATCTTTGATATGATTTAAATCAAATTCCTCCTCATTATAAATATCACGAATTTTGACTATGCGTAATGTATGCTTTACGCATGCACGCGGTGAAAGAAACGTTTAATAAGGTAAACAAATAAATATTAAGCTTTTTTTTTGTAAATTTTGATACCCTTTAGATCATAATTGTTCTTTATGTCATAAATTACGGTTTCATATTTTTAATTTTAGAATTTCTGCATGCCATCTTACGAGATTTAAACTGATGATCTATAATCCGGAATCGCTGAAGTCCCGACGAGTCCGGATTAACGACTTTTGACTGTAAATTAAAAATGTCTTAAAATCCTTACGTTGCAGGTGAAACACAATCTTCCACTAAGGTGGAACCTTCATCACCTTCAATTCCAAAGTGATCCTTTGCCTTTTTCTGGGAACAGAAAATTTATAAATATAAATACATCATTCTTTATAAATATAAATACATCATTCTTTAGTAATTAAAAAACATTAAACAATCAAAGTTACGTGCATACATATATTTTATATACATTTTCCTTCACCTTCTGTAAGCATTTTTCATTTCAATGTTATATTTTATAACTATCTTTGAAAAGACAATTAGAAATTCTACTACTTTTAATTTTCTTTCAAAAATGTAGTCTTGCAAAATAATTTTTTTTTTAATATTCCATAGGAAAATTACATTTTTTAACATTCAACTGAATGTAATAGAATATGCATTCATTTACCATTAACCGTTAACAATAATTTTATAAACATGAAAAACAGAACTATTTAATATTCTTTTCGAACTTAATTCAATATACCAAACAACAAATCTAGGAATTATAATCAATGACCATTTTGCTGGTCAAATGTAAATTTTATTCAACTTCATCAATTAATTTAAATGAAGCCTAAATTTCATTCTTTTATCACTATTTTACGCATATAAATTAAAAGTAAATACCTTTTTTAAAATGATATCAATGTAACCTCCAATAAGTTGAGTTATTTGCTCTCCTTCTGTAGTTTGAACAGAATAATAAGAATCTGAGTAATCACCAAAATCCTGAAAATGCATTTCTTTTGTAAATTTAGCATTTTTCATCAAATTCACACTTAAAAAATTTCAAGATAACTAACAAAAGTTTTACCAAAGTAAAGCTATTTGGGGAAGCAGCCCATCTTCTTACAGATGTTAGAGGCCATGTTTTCAGAATCTGCACAATAAAAATATTATAAAATCATATCTATTTTATTAAAATCTGGCTATCATTTCTAGACAGTTATGAATGAAATAAAAATTTGGATAAAAAATTTGAACTTGGATGAATGATTACATTTTAATTTTTTCAATGCTGAAGCAAATTACTGCAAATTTTTGCAAAACTTGAAAAATTACAAAGTTGTCAATTACTTCATAAAAATTGAAGTTATACTATGGTGACTCACCATTATTTAACCTCAATGTTATTTTGAGCTTGATAATAGAAGTAAGAGCACATTGCTTTTATTTTCTTAATTCACACAATTGCATCAAATTTCTCCTTATTGAATGAAATATTTATTGAAAATTTGCAATTTTTTTCAATGATTTCTGTAAAGTACAACAGAAGTACAAACTATTAATCGTAAATTACCAGGTAATATAAGGAAATAGTCTCAGTTGCCTTCAATGAATGCTTGAAAATTGATTTTTTTTTTCCTTTTAAGAAATACTAAAAACTAATGTAATTTTCAAGAAAGACGGGACTCTTTTCAAAACAAAGTTGACAGACTGTTAAAGCAGCAAGAAATTTTAAATTTAATTTCTTGCTGAACAGTATTTCTTCAACTGCAGAATCTGTTTTATTTAAAATGAAAAAGGTCCTATTTTGATTTGGTTAGTAATTTAAGTGAAAGCTTGTTTTGTTTGTTAATTTCCTATGTGAAAGACATTAAAATAAGCAGATTTTTAAAATACCATATGCAAACACCTTTACAATTTCCTTTCATTTTTACTCTTTTTATCAGTTAAATTGGATGCTAAAATTAAAAATTTTTTAAAGCTCTAATATGTTCAGGTTGTAATATTAGATGTTTTGATGCTGTAGTTTATTTTACTATAATGTATTACTTAACTATACATGTGTTCCGGTTTGACTAGAAACTTTCACTCTGCCGATGTTCCGGTTTGATTAGAAACAAACTTTTCTCTTTCTCAGAATGGCAATAGTGAGAACTTGACTTTCGATTTGTTATGACGCAGCTCGAAAGCTGGTCGTCAGATATAACATTAGATTTGATTCTAGATTAGATTAATTTGTTTAGTATTTAATAAATCCCTTTAAAAACCAGATTGAGTATTTTGATCATAGAATCGTAACTGAACCACCACTTACAGTAATTTAGATATGGCATTTAGATTCATAGTTAGATGTGTAGGAGCGACATTCGTTGATTCGATTAGTGTACATTAGTGCGTACACATGCTATAACCCTGGATAATGATAAAATTATACGAATGCTTTAAATAAGGAGATGTTCATCAAATAAGTTAAAACTTAATTAAGTTTGATATCTAATGTTTAATAACTTTTCAAAATATCTGATCCACGCTCTTGAAGCATCACTGACATAAAAAAGAATTTAACCAATAATATGATAATAATACACCACGACTATATAAACAATTTCCAGTCTGTAATATCAGGTTTCTCATTAGTAAAAAATTCATGATTTCAATAACATTTCAAACTAAAATTATAAAATAACTTAAAATACATAACAGATTATTCACCTCTTTAGTTTTTTCATCCAATCGTAAAACACTATCTTTTGTAACCCCAAGTAACCGTGGCACAAGTTTGTTCTTTCCTTTCATTTTTTCCTAGAAATGGGATACACATCAGAATTTTATGTGATAAAATATCTTCATAGATTCACAGATGTTGTACTAATAACCATAATCTGAAGAACAATTCTTAAGAACTGAAAGCTGGAAACTGTTAAATAATACACTTACTTTAACAAGGAAAAATGTGACTCCATATGTTTTCAGCGATCTGGCTAATGAAACATATTTCACTTTAGCTTCCAATTCTGTATTTCCAATAAATTTTTTATGTTCCTGAAACAATGCAATGCTAATTTAGAGATATACACCAGCAAACCAACTTTTTTAAATTCGTAATTTTTTTTAATAATTGATAATTTTAAAATTATTTAACTTACTGCAAAAACCCTTTTCTCTATTCCTTTCATTTTGCAATAATCTTTTGGCAAGAATTCTTTTAAACTACAGGTGAAAACACATATGAAACAAAAAATAAATTAATTAAATATACTAAACATAAAACTATAATAATAGCATTCAAATACAATAAAAGACCAATTACAACAATGCTACTATAGGAAATATCAGAAATACTATCGAATTTTTTAATGTAAACTAAATTGAGATATAAATTATGAAAAATGCAATACAAATCCTAAAATTACATACTCTAAAAATCCTGGCTTGTGCTTAGTTTCAACATGATCTCCAAACTGTATTTGGCACTGCATGCCAGCAAACTGCGCAGCCTGATCAATAGTCACAGGATGAGTTCCATTTATGATTGCATCTCGAGCCTAAAAACATTTCCTTTAATTTCTTGAATGAATAGATATCTCAATTTAGACATTGTTAATAAATCATCCACAAAAATGAAATAAGTACAATTTAAGAGAATAATAATATTATTAACTAAAACTGCCTCTTTCATTTTAACACTATGCTATACTTTGCTTCACATATTAGACCCATAAAGACTGAAAAAATATCAGAATAATTATTCATTCATACAATTTCCACAAATTACACAGAATAGGTTGATAATTTAAGTTTATAGCACAGAATTTCCTCAGAATAGTAGGTCATTTATAGCAAAAAATGCAAGCAAATTTCTTGTAAAAGGGATATGCTTTTCAAGGAAACAGTTTAAAGCAGCATATATAAAAAAGTCATGAAAATTCCAAGTAGTCAATTCACTTAGAATCAAATCTAATGACACTACTGGATTCAGTGAATTCAATAATCTGGCTATTAATTGTCACAGAGACTACTTACAGAGTGAAATAGACACTAAATATTTTATAGCTTAATGTACCTTTTGGCATCTTCACACAACTACAGTTAAATAATACAGTCAAAAGTCGTTAATTCGGACACCCATAATCCGGAGAACTCAAAGCTACAAACTTTCTGCGCATGCGTTATCTATTTTAGTTAATGGTGCAGATTGCGTTGTTTCCTAATCATCAAATTGGATCTGGCTTATTATTTTTTGCAGCCTGTTAGAGCAATTTTATAAAAGTAAGCTTGAACTTTCGTTTATGTCAAATAGAATTTCCGATGCTGGAGCTGCCAAGGAGAAAGTATGTTGCGATGTCCATCAAACAAAATAAAAGGAATTCCTGCAAAAAATGGATAAAGGCATATCCTTTGATTCTCTAACCATTCCGAAATCTGTTTATCAATTTCACGCTGCTCTGGGGGGGGGGCCTCGCGGCACGCAATGAACTGGATGTTGATCTGTCAGCACTATCGTTATCTTCAGAGTAGATGTTTTTATTTTATTCAGCTTATAATTCCTTACTAAATGTAGTATTTCATCTCGATGTATTCCATCTTTGATATGATTTAAATCAAATTCCTCCTCATTATAAATATCACGAATTTTGACTATGCGTAATGTATGCTTTACCCATGCGCGCGGTGAAAGAAACGTTTAATAAGGTAAAGAAATAAATATTAAGCTTTTTTTTGTAAATTTTGATACCCTTTAGATCATAATTCCTCTTTATTTCATAAATTACTGTTTCATATTTTTAATTTTATAATTTCTGCATGCCACCTTACCAGATTTAAACTGATGATCTATAATCCAGAAAAATTGATAATCCGGAATAACCGAAATCCCAACGAGTCTGGATTAAAGACTTTTGACTGCATAGCTGATTATTGAAAGAATATTTCTATTATACAAACATATGTCCATTACATTAAAATGTAGGTTCTTAGCAAAAATTCCAGAAAAAATTTTAACCAGTAGCAATTCAAAACTGGTGCTACATGTTTAGGCTATTAAAAATAAACAGTTTTTTCCCTAGCCTTTTTTTAAAACCTACTTTCTTCTTCAATTTTAAAAAGCATCAATGAACTTTTAAACCAACAATCCTATAAATCTATCTACAATCCGGGTTTGACCTGCAACTTTCTGCTAAGAATTTATTTAAAAAATTTGCTTCAGATAAATTATAACAGAAAAGGAATTTAGCAGTATGGACTTAAGGAAATTTTCTGGATCAAATAACTCACCAAAATTACACTTTTCAACACAATTTCTGCATTATGCGACTAAAACCAAAATGCTACAAAAAAGTTAATGTACCTCACTGATAATGATAAGTAGAGGGAGCAGTAAAATTCATTTTCATCTCTCAACAAGTTTAACTTTCATATCAATTTAAAACTAAGATGAAGCAAATTCACAAGAATTTACATGAAAAATAAATACCATATTCATGATGTCCCATAGGAAACCAATTTACTAATGTGATGTACAGCTGCCTCAAAATTACTTTATTAAATAAAATGAGAAATAGCCTTCTATTCTGATACATCTAATAAGCAAAGCAAGAAGTTCAAAAGCAGTTTTACTTTCATTTGATAATTAACAATTATAATATTTACAGCATCTAACATACTACAGGAAAGGAATGGGTTATTTAATTTATACAAACATTTTAGGGCTATCTACCTCAGCTTCATAGCAGTTTTGCTAAACAACTAGCTGGGAAAGGATATTCCTGAAGTTAGTACCTCTTTTCCTTATTACAACCCTCAAGATATTTAATGTGATTTAAAATCTACACTAAAAGCAACTACATTTCATTTAATGATGAAAAGGATCAGCATCATAATTACAAGATAACTTACATGTATCACATAAAATAAAAGCGTACACAAACAAGAAATCAAGACTTAAAAACTAGATTTGCACCCGAAATGTTAGTGGAGGGAGGTTTGTCGTTTAGTTCTTTAGAATAATAAATTAAAAGTTCAATGCAATATTTATGCAAATGCAAGTTGTTATGGGTCAGTAAAGGATTATACTTGCAAAAATGAATAGTTTTGTTTGCATATATATAATAATATATATATATTTGCCTAAAAATAAAATAAATTTAAGACCTCCAAGTTGTAGGGGAATGAGGAATAAAAAAACTCAATGGCCCCTGTTTTAATGTTCTTTTGTATTCTTTTCTAATTTTGAGCTATTAGGAATGCATTTGGATTCATACTTATTTATCCTTTTATTTAGAGCTCACATTTTTATTTCACTATATTTATAAATAAATATGCCTGTTCCATTTCATGAGTTTAATTCTTACTCCATAAAAATAACTCTCTCTTTCATTTTTAATTTATCACTTATCATTACATTCAAGAGCAGTTTTAATATAGCCAGTATATAATCTACATTACTTTAAATTCATTTTATATTAATCCCCATATACATAATAAGGATACGTAAGTAATAAGGACTGACAAGGACATTAAAAAATAGCAAATATTAAAAACACATAAGTATTTAACTGGAAATTTATTTTAAAGTTAAAAATTAATTTAAATAAGTAACACATCATTCCATCATTCTCAATAGAACTGTATCTACACATACCTGCACATATAGTAAGTTCAGTTGCACTGGATCCCTGGAATCAACATTCTGATCTGAAAAGAAAAACTTTCTTCGAAGGAGTAGGGTTTCCTCTTCATCAATTCCCTGTTCTCTAAGAGTTTTGGAATGATCAACCCAGTTTACTACAAAAAGAGACACAAATTTACATCAAAATTAACAAAATATGATGCTACACTAATTTTGACTTCATAACATCACAGGTTTTTTTTCTTATTGAATGACTCATTAAAACAAAACTACTTTAATACTTATAATATAAAATAAAAAATAAAATTATAAAGTTATAAAATCTTTTTTGGGAGAAGGGGAATACTTCAATAATACAAGATGATATTTTGCATTTCTTAAAAACTGCAACAGTTTTTAAAAATCTTGATGTGGAAATAACATTTCTCTAAACAAATACCTTAAATGACTAAAACACACTTTAAAAAGTACTTTTATATTTAATATTTAAAAAATATTAAGTCCATATTAAAGGCACATCACTCCTTTCGTTTATGGTTTTCCTAATGCTCAAAGACATTTCAGTTTCTGATGATTAACACACACACACACATTTCACTACACTTGACTTTTTTAGTAAAATCTCCCCACAATCTCAAGTTAATATATGGCATATATTATGATTTAAATCTGAATGCAAGATAATCAAACTTAAAAAATATTTCACCCTTTCAACCCTGTTAGGGCAAAAATCAAAATTATTTTTTTTGCTGAGTAAAAGTAAAAATTTGTAGATCATACAAATTTGAGTCTTGCAATGCATTTTTTTGACTGAAAAGTCTCCACATAATTATGTAAGCATTTTGCTATAATGTCTATGCCATAATATTAAATATAGTTATCAGAAAAAGGACTGTAATGAATAATATTTGGTTATGCAAAGTCAGTGATCACCAGATTGGCTTAGAACAATAGTTCCCATCTTATGGTATGCATGTCCCCCGGGGTATGTGAAAAACTATTAGTAATGGCAGAAAACAACAAAGTGTTTGATAAGAAAGTAAAACATTCAAAAAGTTATAATTTGTCATAGAACAAAAAGGAAAAGTAATTACGGGGATTTCTGATGAAATTTCACCATTACTGACCAAAATGTGTATAAAAGCAATGTTGTTAGTCCATTCTGCTTTCAACAGTCAAATAGCTTGATTCCTTATGCTTTATGTGTAGCCACCCCTTTCCCACTCTACACTCTGTCACTGTGCAACAAAAATGCTTGTTAGCTTTTCTTTTAAATAGTTTTTAATTTTTTATATTTAGTTTAGCATAAAGGCAATTTAAAATTTAGTATTTTTATTGTGGAGCAACAGTACTTCAAACATGCCTAGAATTTTAAGTACAGACCTAGACATCATATACAGTCAATAATTTCATTAATTTACTCATTTTCACCTTTCCTTTTTAAAAACACAGATAATCAAAATAATTACTGGGAACTATTAATGTTATGTTTAGGTTAAAAAATATGTTTTGTCTCTGTGTTTATTTGAAACAAAAACTGTAATACTCACTTTTTGTTAGATTAGAATTTTCTAATTGTATTCTTTCAGTCTATTTTATGATACTTAAATAATACAAGAATAAGATATACAGCAAAAGCACTGGACAGAGGGTAAGGAGGTCATATGCTCTGAAGGGGAGGTAAGGGATATTTTAAGATTAAAACATTTTTTATCATACAATACATGGAAGAAAGACTGGGAACCACTGGTCTAGACAGTTGATGTCAGAAAAGTTAAAAACAAATGTAAGCATTTTCAAAATTTATTAACCCTTTGACGGTTATGGAAATGAGCAGTTTCCGTTTACTTTATTCGCGCAGCATTAGGAGTAAACAGTAGTCGAAAGTGGCAGCTGTTTCCCCTCCCCACTGCCGATCTCTTCCGAAAATGTCACCCTTTCTCTGGCGAATGCCGTAGATAGCTCGCCTCGCGCGTTTTAAAAATTTCTTAAAAGTATTTGTAGTACAAAAATAACAGTTTTTACGTACTTTAAAATAATTATAAACAATAAATTATAAATGATTATAACCAATTATATAAATAATAATAGTTAATTATAAATATAAGACAAATATTAAATTGAAAGGACTAAATAAATACAACTAATGTAAAACTTTATGAAGCACAGTTAAATACAGTAATTACCTAAAAATCTTTTTGTGTGCGATATATAGTTTAAAACATGGAATTGCACATAATGGGGCATTGCAGTCTTTTGCAATACGTACGTGTTTCACGGTGAATTCTTTTTCCATTAGGCATCATTTTTGCTGCAACATACCACACATCATGTCTAGTAGGTTCTTTTTTTTTTTTTTTTTCTGTACGGTGGAATATAATCAGGAAAGTGGCATGCTGTTGACAATCTTAAAGTATTCGAAACTGTTTCAGCAGGTTTTGATTTCAAATGTCTGTGAGTGTGATATTTTTCAACAATTCTTTCAGCTAGTTCAATTCTGAATTCCAAATTTTGATTTTTTATTCCCCTTTTTTTTTTCCACAGCTGAAAAGCATTAAAAATTGTTATGTCCAATAAATAACGAAATATTTTCTTGTAATATTTCCTTTGTTGAGATCGGGTTACATCATAGTATTCTTGCTCTTAAATTTATTTAAATTTTCAGCAGCAAAAATGTTGGTTTCCATACCAATATGATTTATAATCTCATCAGTAAAAAAAAAACAGCTCAAAATACTCTAGTGGATCAGAAATATTTGTCATGCAAGCTTTCATGCCTACATCACCAGTAAAACTAAATCAGCTACGAGCGTGAGAACTTGAATCAATTATACACCACTGTCGAACACTCGAAAAATCTTCCTCATCGTTTGAATCGTCTTCTGAGCTTGAAATACTGTGAAGAAAGTCTTCATCAGATTCAAAACTTGATAAGCTTTCTGTATCACAATCATAATCATCATCATACCTATCTAACTTTTGCTTTTGAGCCATTTTACTGTACAAACACCCTAAAAACCGCGCCAAAATACGTATAAAATGAACAAGGTAAAAAAAAAAAAAATCCACCTTCATTATGCAAAGAAATTCATGGAACTCGTACTGCCATCTGTAGACAGTAAAACTAACTAAATTCGTTTGAAACACAATCAGTGCAGAATAATAATGGCGAACGAAGTCAGCTCGTCAGCGCGCATTGGGGAAAAATTTCACTACGCAAGTAGTGCTCGTTACTAACCATTTCGGTCAAAATCTTGCTCCCAAGCGGAACTCGTTCGCGCGCATTATGAAGCACGATTTGATTGCGAGCTGAACTCATTCATAACCATCAAAGGGTTAAATTGCATTAAAAAAATTATGATGCAATCAATAATTTATTGATTACGTCGTTAATTCTGACATTTAAAACTCTAAAAATACTACTTGTCTTCACAGTTTAATCACATTTAGTAATTAAAATATATAAATTCACCCACAGTCATCATCTGTTTTCAACTTCTTTTTCAGCTGTTCCATTTTTTGATCCTTATCTTTATCCTTCTTTTCCTAAAATAATTATATATATATATATATATACACACACATATATATTTATACCATAATTGGTATGTACATATATATATATACACACATATATATTTATACCATAATTGGTATGTACATATATATACATACATACCATAATTTATATTAAAAAGAGCTTTTATGGAATTTAAAACATGATTTTAATGGAACATGTTACCTTTCTTAGTGTTAGAGTTCCAGTATTGGGTTCTTTATTTTCATCCGTGATCTCTCGAATCAACGAAAACTCATCATGATTAGTGATACCTGTTAAAAGAGAAAGCAAGCTATAACAACGCAAAGAAACACACATCAAGATTTAATAAATGAAATAAAGTAACATGCTAGGGCTTTCAATAGCAAAGAAAACTAAATTGAACTAATGATTTTCTTTTTCCTTAACACTGCAAAATTCAATATGCATGGCATTCATAGATGAAAAGTAACTTTACTTAGCAGCATGTTAAAGTCTTCATGTGTATTTGTCTATTACAATTCATTTTGGTTCTCCTAATCTTGCATGAGTAAGTAAATTAAGCATTTCATATAAAGAGTCTGTATTATTAAATAAAACTCTTAAGCTTTTGAAATGTGTTCTGCTGCACAGACATGCTTGAAATGTCAAAAATTCAATAAACAAGCTTAAAATTTTGTAGGTCCTTTATGGTAGAGTGACTTGGAAGAAAGTACTCAATGTATTTATAGGAATATTGCAGGCACATTTTCTGAAAACTGTCTATGATTTTGCAGTATTATGAGAGGCATAATTTCTACATTAAAAAAGCAATGCATGGAATCTCAGGTACATTCAGTAACACTGAGATCTGATGACTTAAATGTCATGTCCAGATTCTAAACTTATGAATTTTTCTTGAATTATACTTTGACATCTTTAAACCAGCACGGCTGCACATCCTTTATAGAAGACCAAACACATCAGAATGATATAACGTGAAATATGAAGACATAACATGGAAAAGCATAACTTATGAGAAGGAACATCCACATAGATTTCAGCCAGAAATAATTATGAACATACAAGCAGCCCCACAGAATACCAGCTAAATAACCTCATACCATTACAGAATCGTCATGATTAATAAAATTTTCAAGTGACATGTAGGATCTATGAATTTTCTCCTTACATAAATCTTTTCATCTCCTTGAAAGAACTGGAAATACTACTGGCGAGATCAGGCTTTCAGTCATCAAACGTCCACTGTCCAAACTGCCAACTCTTGGTGAGTTAAATGGCTCTACATTGTACATTCAATAGGGAACTTTTAAATAGGTAACAGCTCCTAAAACTTATGCAATAAAAATAGCACTCATCAGTGCTCATGCTGAGATTTGAAGCCCCAGTACACAATTCTGATGCCACTTGAGGTAGTGTTGTACCCCTATCGCAAGAAATAAATCTTGTCAGCTGATGCTGGTCATATATAGTATGTTATGGTGAAACACTGAAATCTGAAGAATGTCGACTTTCACCTATGAATATCAACATTCACATAGTCGCTTGGTGTATGTCTGAAATATTTTCCAAATACTCTTATTTCTGACTTACACCAATCAATGTCGACATTCACCATGTACTAATGGTGAATGTTGAACACATAAGAATATTATATTTTCTTCTCCGTAATTCAGTCGCGAAACAACGCACTTGAGACTTAACCTGTTAACTGGGAAATAAGCTTTCAGTAAAATCGTTTCACAATGGGGACTTTTTCCTTTGCATTAATTTCAGCACATCGCAAGGAATAAATAAAAGAAAATCGTTTTAAAATATTTAATGATATTAAATATTAAAATTAAACATTTTTAATCCAGAAAAACAAATTAATTGAACGAATTTAAACAATTATTTCGTATGATATTCCCTAAAGCAATGCGGCATACACAAAGCAACACAGCAGTTGGGACACCAAAATCTTGATTCTTTCCTAAGACCTTTGGAATAGCATAATTTGCATCTCCTCGTTACATTTACTCTTGAAGAGTCGGATGGTATATAAGTCTGCAGAATGTCTTTCAAAGAGTCAAGATGGTTTTGTTGTCAAAGATGATCGTCCTGTACTAGTAGATGGCAACTGCGATCCATCTCTATATTTTCCAACACCTTTTCCTACAGTTTGGAAATGAAGCCTATCTAGGTGACCACCATCTTTCTTGTATAAAAAAAAGATATGCATTCAAACACACCATGTCTAGTGCATGTAAAAATATCTTATAGTAATACATTTTTACTTGGTTTCTAGCGATTTCATAAGTTTTCATTTGTCCGTCAGCAAAATCAACTCCTCCCATATTTTTGTTGTAGTCAGCGATAACTTCCGGTTTTGATATCATTTTTCTATTTCTACAAATTTATTGTCGTGGATAGTACTCAATATAATTAAATCCTTTTTGTCTTTCCACTTCATAATCATTATTTTGTCTCTGTACCTAGCAATGTATTCAATCTTTTTTCAAAACACAATTTTTTATATTCAGATGGTATTCCCTATTCTTTTTCTATTTTTTCGCACTTGTTCCTACAACATCGGTTTTTCTTCTGCACATCTTCTCAGCTATATCAGATCAGTACCAGTATACCAATTATCGAGATATAGCGTATATCCCTTATCCAACAAATCGTGGCACAGTTCAAGAACAATACGATTTGGTCCCTGTTCTTCTGGATAGTTCGAACCATACAGCAGTGTCTTTACCTGTATATATAATGAAATTACTTATGTATCCGGATTTACTTTCACATATCTTATACAATTTAACACCCCAAATCGATTTCTTTTCGATGGAATGTACTGTTTCCAAGACAGTCTTCCTTTCCATAGCAAAAGAGACTCATCTACATCTACATATTTCCTTATCTGGTACGTATAACACCTTGAATTTGTTTCTCAAATAGTTCAAAATGGAATCGATTTTGTAGGTTTTTTGTTGCACACTTTTAGATCAAAAGCATTGTTATCACTAAAATGTAAATATTTTACTAACAGTTGGCAATCTATTTTTCTGACATAGTTTTATAAAAAAAAAATGGAGTCTCCCAGACTTTCTCGCTTTGTGAAAATAAAGCTGATAAGAAGGTTTTCCTATTATTCCTTGCAAAATTAGTAAAAAAATAAATACTCTTCATCTCTCGGTCATCTGTGTCAACCCACGAGAGACATCTTGAACGCGGTTTCATGGAAGTATTTTTTTCAAAACTGTCCGGAATATTTGTTTGAATTGTTCCACAATAAGTTCTACAAAATTCTCATCGATAAATTTCTCAAAATAAAAAAAGCAATCCTTTTCTTCAGGTCTTTCAAATGTAATCTAGATTGAGATAAAAACGAGAAAGGCGATCGCAATATTCTTTCACATTTCCATTCAGCTGATGTCGGTTGAGTATTTTGGTCTATAACATCATCATCCTTTGATTCAATGTCTGGACCATCAGTAAAGAAGTCGTTATCACTTTCTTCCGAACTGGTACTTATTCTTAGAATAATGTCATTTACCAAACCTCCCAGGCAATATTTCATCGTCACTTTCAGACAATTCAAAAATATTTTCTGCTTCACAATAATTTTTAGCCATATTTATAAAAAACTAACAATTACTCAAATCAAGAAGTTATTACTAATATGCAAAATACTGAAATACAGACTAAAATGAAATTAAGTTGTGCAAATTAGGAGTGTTATCACAATTTATGAGCGGACAAGTGTTTCCATTGATCGATTTTTCTTGAATAACGGTAAAGTGACAGATTGAAAAAAAAGTAAGAAAAATTTCGTCATGCCCATTAAAATAGTCTTCCCAGCATGACGGAAAATTTTGTCATGCCCATTGAAATAGTCTTCCCAGCGTGACGAAACATTTTGTCATACCCATTGAAATAGTCTTCCCAGCATGACGAAACATTTCGTCATACTCATTGAAATAGTCTTCCCAGCATGATGAAAAATTTCATCATACCCAGTTAACAAATTAAAATAAGAACTTAAGAACATAAGAACTTAAAACACATAGTACATTCAAAATGAGAAAGGAAAATAATAGAAGTTAAAAACTTACTCAATGATACAGTACGTTCTAAATGAGAAAATAAAATAATAGTAATAAAAAATTACTAAATTATGCGATTCAAATCTTATTTATTGCAACAACTTAAACTATTATGACACTTTGAATTGCACAAGACGCCCTTGCTTTTACATCTGCATTTATTTGTGGAACACTTCCTTTTGCAATGACAACAAGTACAGCTTGCGCACCGCTTCTCGAATTAGCTGCAGCTGCTTCTCTCAGCGACATTTCTTGTAAATAAATCTCATCGATGGAAAATAACTTTTCTTTACAAATTACGAACCGATTACGTGTGTAAAGCTACTTGAGAGTACCGTTTTCGTTTGCCAAGTTTATAGAAGTTTATATAGTCTTCTATTCCAACAACAACCGCTAACACATTTCAGTTATTTGTACAACCACGGTCGACATCAGGGACTTGTATTCGTACAGTATCACCAATTTGAGTCAATCTTTTCGACCTACACCAGAGCATATCTGTGATTGTCGACTACAACGGTGAACGCCCGAATGTACAAGAATGTAATGCAATATTCGATCTTTCACCGACGTATTTGGTGAATGTTGACATTCTCCGGTGAAAGTCGACATTCTCCAATTTCGGTCTTTCATGGTAACATATATACATAGTGTTTTTATGACCATACTATTGTTTAAGTTCCAAGATTTGCAATAGTTCTTACAGTCATGACATACGCTTGAAATGATTATATGTATTTGTGGATGCAATAAGCTACATGCATATGCAGCATTATTATGTATTCCGCCCATGTTCTTTATATATCAAGTTTTTTTTTCGATGGGGGGAGGGGAGGAGAGCATTTCATTTTATTTAATACAATGTAACTGAAATAGAAAACATAACTAATTTTAAACTTCAGGGTTTCAAAAAAGAGAAATATGCAACACATAGATGCATATTTAATGAAGGCCAACACTTGATGCATTAAAGAATAACAATGAGAAAATTAATGCAGAAAAGAAACATTATGCTCTCCAATTATTGAAAGAAACACAATTCCCACTTCCCCCACGGAGCAAACAAATTTCACTTTTATTTCTTTAGGGAACATTCCCCACCCAAAAAAATGCTAATTAAATGGAAAAAATTTAAACAACTTTACTTCCAAAATAAAGTAATAATCAGAAATTGGACTGCAGACTAAATTAAAACTTTTATAATTACGTAACATATTTTGAATATTAAAATTTGTAAAAGTTCAAGTATTTGTATATTAAAAAATACTTTTTAATGAAACAATTTGCTACAATGACAAATAAAAACAAGGTTCCCCTTTTACTTATTTATTCAAATGCTTAACTAATTTAATGGCATTTCACTTCATAAATAAAAAACATACATACAATACTTTGTAGAACAATACCATAAAAAATGCCTACCAATTTTTGTACAAATAACAACCATGAGGTTTGCCACAACTTGGCTGTCATCAACAAGGACGGTTTTTACTGTTCCATCTAACATTCTCACTCGAAGTGTTCTCATTTTTCTTTTGTATTCTAAGAGATCCTTTCATAAAAGATAAAATGAATAAAGCACTTGATATATTCAACAGAAAGGGATTTAAATAAAATAAACTACCAAGATAATAAGCTTGTAAACATAAAAATATTACAAATAAGCATAAAATTAACTGTTTGGATAAATAAATAAAAATATGCACAATATAGATATGGTAAAAATATGCAGCTCAAACTCCGATTTATTCTCAAAATATAACTTAACTTTTACCAAAAAACACATTAAAGTAATAAAAAGTACAATCGTTTTTGCCTCGGTTTGGTTTACTAATGACATATTGCTATTTTCTATCAAGAAGAAAGTGCCAACTGTCTTTTACAGCTGATGATTTTACATTTCGGTTCACGAACACATACAATTGAAATTGAATTTTTTTCATAACAAATATCTTTGCTTAGATAAAGTATTTTAATTACAAAAATAAAATATTTTACTAAAGAAAGCTATGTGGACTTTATCGTAAACACATTTCCCTAACAACAGTATTGATATAATGCAAGACTGAAACATTTTATTTTCAGATTAAAAATGATTACATGAACATTATAAATTAAATAAGTCACTATTTTTTGGATATTCCTCTAGGCATCATTTCTTAAACCTTTTTGTATGATTTTAAGAAGTACTTTTGGAATTTTTAAAAGTAGTTTCAAACAGTTAGCCATGCTGATTTTTATGCCTCAGATTTTTCTACTAAAACTAACAATAAAGGAATGGAAATTAATGCAATAGGTAAAAATTCCAGTTCCACATTTTCCCATGAAAATTAGAATATTTTAGTCTTTTTACTTTTAATCTTTTTTTTTTTTTTTTTTTTTTTTTTTTAGGTTTATTTTCTTTTTTAATGTAGCTACACCCTTTTTTAAACAATACAAGTTTAAAATTCAGTAAAAGCAAGATCATTAATTCTTTTTGTTCACATAATCTAGTAAATAGTTAGAAATTAATTTCCTTCCAAGATACTTACCCCATTCCTCAATAAATAATATTCAAGAGATCTACCAGGTTCTAACCAAACCCCTTTCTTGGGATCTTCATCAGCGAGAAAAAGGCCATAATTTTTTGCTAAAGATCACAAAAAAGGCAAAATTAAAGCACACAAATTTAACTTAAATCTACATTAATATAATAAAATGTTATTGATAATATGAGTATAACATCATGTTATGTTAAAAGTGAATACAAAGTCATGATTTAAATGTGTAAGACAGTGCCACAGTGAGGGACGGCCATCCAAAGCTAATTGCTCAAGTCAAAATATTTTGTAAAGATATGGACTTAAAAAAACTGATTATGCATATTTGACAGGTTAGTTAACCAAATTTATAAGGCAGTTAAAAATTTTGCCAAAAGGCATCAACTCATACTGAAGGAACTGAACAATCTGCAAGTGAATTCATTTTGTACCCATGGCTAGATAACGTTTGAAATCGTTAGTTATTGGATGATGCAAAAATTGTCCTAATTATAGACAACTGCTTGACTCGTACTTCACTTATCGTAAAAGATAATGTCTCTGCCTTATTCTTTCCTCCCAAATGAGCATTTATTACCCAGCTAGTTGGTATTGGAGCGCTGCACACACTAAAATGCAGATATAATGTAGCCATTTTAAAATCTACGCTACATTTCCTGAATACTTGGAAGATAATTTAAGAATTTTTTAAGCGTTTTAACATAAAATCGCCTTTGCAGAGCACTGCAAGGTCATGAGAAGATATGCCTGCACATAATTTTTTTTATGCCTACTATATTTTAAGGTGTTGATGATGACAGCCATGAATTTGGAAGGATATCACAAGCAAAAGCCGAAATTTTCAAAATTACTTAAGTACCTTCCAATCGAACATGACTGTTAGCACAGATCATGCCGAAACTGCACCAATGATTCCAATGGAAGTTTGAAGGAACAAACTGCTGTCTATTTAACTAAATAATAATAGACCCTTTTAGATTTAATTCGGTAATAACTAGATACTAGCTGTGAATATGGCATATAAAAATTTTAAACAAGCTCATACTTAAAGATTATCTGACAAATTCACTGAAACCAGTGGAGAACATTCCAGTGGTCAAATATCCCTATTAGAATATAAAATAACGACAAACTGTCACTTGCTTTATGAAATCAATACCACACAAAATCATTTAAAAATGAATCTAAGTGTTGTTATGCTTTTCTGAAATGTCTTTTATTGTGTCATTTTGATTAGTTCTGCAGTCTTTTATTGTCAGTCATGCTCAAAAGCATGTACATCAGCATAACCAGTACCACATCTTTGAAACTTCTAGCTGTTCTGTAGAAAGCAGGTCAAAAATTGTAATTCGTTTTACAAAATGCAAGAGAAAAACTGAGAAAGAGCAGTTAATTTATAACTTCCTCATACAATTCTGATGGCTTACTGAAGTTCAGCGTTAAATAAAACGAAAGAGAAATTCTTATTAGGGCCCATTAAGAGGAAGCTGTTGCATTATGCCATTTTAAAATAAAGTTAAGCAACTCCCCTTATACTTCCATGGGTTATGGCATTAGACCTTGTGATTTTTTTACTGACCACGCCTCTCGCTTACGTCAATAAAGGTAAGATAAACTGTTACACAATGCTAATATTTTTAGTAAAAAATATGGAAATAAAGAACATAGCTTAAATTTTTCCAAAAAATGAATCCGCACTTCTTGCATTTTGAAAAAGAGGTTAAGATAGCATATTATTCCTACACCTAACTTTTGTATCTAATTCCTGCCTACTGATCTGCACTGCATTGAACACACCAAGTTTCAAATATTTAGTGAAATCAATGGTGCATGCTTACATAACTTGCAACTGTTTATATAACTTGCAGAAGGTTAAAAAAAGAAAGAAAATCTGAAAGCTTTCAGATTTTTTACGAAGCCCACAGGGACAACTTTTTCATTTACACACAGATATACACTTCAAGAGCATTTGGGCTAAAAGTATTTAAAAACAGCATATCTTTCTGATAGCCAGGCTTGTGCACTGGAGATATAATAAATGTTTTATTCCGTACAGTATGCCAATACTCGTTTTGAAATTGTTGAGTTTTTTAATAAAAAATTCGTTAAAGTTTTCCAAAATATGAAACCGATAAAACAAATTCGAAACTCATACTGAATGTGTCGTTTTGAGACATCATGCTTACACAATACTGGCAATAAATTCAGCTGTTCTGCAGTATTGAGGGAAATGGTCAAGGGCAAAATACATAAGCATTTTTTTAATTAAGGGAGAATGATAAAAAATGATGGTGATGATATAACAGTTCTCCATTGCAATAACAATGCCTCAACATCAATCAACTAACAGATTGTAAAATCTTTAGTATGAATGCAACAGAAAATACTGCTACCAATAATTAAAAAATGATAAAGAGGTTGCTGAGAACGAAAAGATTTAAATTAATAGTTTAATTCTTAACAAAGAAGTTACAGGACTTAAATAACTTGTACTGGGAAAAAAAAAAAAAAAAAAAGCAGATAAAACAAACAATTTAACTTTTTTTTTAAATTTCGATTCCGTGGATAAATGCTTCATTATTTCATATGTAAAATTTTATAATTTCTACATGTCATCACAGTAGATTTGAACTGATGATCTATGAATCCTATATCAAATCCAAAGATGTTCCGACAGTTCCATATCTTGGACTTTGTACTGTACACACATATTTTACACAATATATATGATTACAAAATTTTTAAAATTTTGAAGTAAAACACGGTTTTAATTTATTGGAATTTTTTGCTTTACATACTACAATATAATACAAAGAAATAATTTTAAGGATTTTCACAACATTACAAAATGAAATAAATAAGAGAAAACGGATAAAATTTTCCCACTTTACATCAATGTGTTGATATTTGCATTTGATTTCTAATATATAATAAATATTTACTTACACTCGCCTAGCCCCGAATCTCCTCCACCTTCTGAAATTTTTTCTCGTATCATTCGACATGCATCGTAGACAATTGTGGAGGGCTCAAATTGCATAGTTTTGACAACATTTTTCTCAACAATACTCACTTTAAGTGAGAGCGACATATTGTGTTTCAATATATGTCACCTAAAATATAAACAAATCATATTACATAACTGAAAAAGGCAAAAACATTTATGGCACCAATGAAAGAAAATTTAATACAACATAATTCTCAACAAAAAAATTTTTCTTTACATATCTAGACAATTATAAATATTCTATACACCTTTTTACATAAACAGCCATTTACTTTCAGATTCAGAAAAAACTGAATGAAGCATTACTATTACTAACATTTAAATGTATCATTTATTTCCCAAATTTTGTTTCAAAAAGTTTAAATAAAAGTTAGAATTATTCCAAAAAATTCTTAATTGTTGGTTTTTCATGAAATGCTTGCCTTGAAAAATTAAAGAAGCAAACCCCTTATGAATAAATCTTTTACTTAAAATAATTGTAATGTTTGCATATTTTTTACTTGACTACTTATATAAAACAGTTGCTTTGGCAATAAATAATCCTCATGTAATCATGAATAGACCAGAAATATCAAAAGGAGAATGAAAACTAAATCTATAACCAATGTTTAGTGCATCCCTCCTCACAAAAAAGATCACAAGCTTATCCTACAATAATAATATAAACCAAGGGTTCTCAACCGGTGGTACGCGTACCATTGGTGGTATGCAAAGAAGCAAAGTATTTTTAACTATTAAATTCAAAAATTAAAACCCCAACATCATGATTGAGTCTTTTTTCTAACATTTGTAAATTTATGTGATCTAGCTTTGTTCAAGAGTGGTGGTGGTACTAAGGTTTTCAATCTTTGTTTAGATGGCATGCGTTAGTCAAAAGGTTAAGAACCGTTGATATAAACAATGGGCCTATTTATGTCAAAATAGAAATACCATTAATAGCTTTCAAGACATAGGCCAAAGAAAGCTTTAAGCATTCATATTAAGAGCATAAGAATATAGTTTTAAGGGGGGGGAAATCAGTAGGCTTAGGTTATGTAAATAGTGGAGGCAATGACCACAAAGTTGCGCAGTCCTAAAATCACCACCAAAAAGAGAACTCCATGGTCAAAATTAATGTTTCTATCTTAAAAGAAGAAGGAATGGGAAGAAAGTTTATGATAAATTTAATAACAAATTTGAATTTTTTTAAATTTTGAATAAATTAACTCTTGTTTATTATAAAGATACATTTTATTTATAAAGTTTTACAAATTAAAAATTACAATTGTTAAATTATTGCAACTTTGTAACTTTTATAAAGTTATTTTAAAGATGAGCAAAGTTAAAATTGCGTTTTTAAAATATTCATTTCTCACTTATTTTAAAAACATAGGAAATTCATTTGCATAAATCATGCATACAAAAAGACCCATAGAACAGCAGATCCGAGAACCACCTTCTCATGATAACAAATTATTCTTGTACTCTATGCAAATTTCGCCAACCATAGCGGGACCTTTCGAATGATATCGACCAAAGATAGACAATCAAAAAGTTGACAAAGTATTTGCCGATGAAATCTTTTGCATGAAGGAAAAAAAAAAAAAAAAAAAAAAAAAACTTTCCACTTTTAGCTTATTAAAATTAGGCTGCAAACTGAAATCACATGGCATAATAGCAATAACATCTTAGCACTCGTCTAAGTCTTCCCCTCTCCACCTTTCGAAATAAAGGTTGACTTCCGTTGTAGAACAGTATACAGACATTCCAAAGGGTAAATAAAAAATAAAAACCATTTAATACAATTTAGCAAAATATTTACTAATACACCACCTCAGAGATTCAGTAAATAACGGAAAACTCAAGAAGTTAAAATGTATTTTCATATAGGATGGCATTTTGCTTTAAAAAAGGTGTTCAAATGATTTTACATTTCTAGTGTCAACTTTTTATCTCTTTACTACAGCACAGACGAAAGACTATGAGAAAAAGTTAGAGACTCATATGAGTTTTCTAATTTGAATTTATATAACACTACATCAAAAATTAATTATCATTAAAGAATATATTATGCTTGGTTTTTAGGTACGAATTATCGTATTTCAAAGGGAAAATTCAATAAAGTTTGACTCTTTTATTAGCTTTAACAGACCAGTAAAAAGATGAATTTTGTTCCCTTTTTTATACTGGGTTTATTACTTCCCGGAAATAACGCAAAATTCTAGCTCAGACAAGTGTTTGCTTCACATAAAGATTTCATGCATTTCTGTAACAGCTACTCTCAAAAAATGAAATATGCTATGCCAATTTGTAAAATTACACTGTTTTGCTGAAATTTTTTTGAATAAGATTAGTGGAGCTATATGGCAATAATTTTTCAACCTTAATACAGTAGTTACGGAATCCAAAATGAGAAGTAAATTTCCCCCTCTTTTTTGGGGGGGGGACATGAGATTCATACTGTAATGTAAAATTTAGTTTGACGTACTTTAATTATAATGAGGAGGAAGTTATAATTTTCCGAAAATTAAAGTCTGATAAGAATTGCAATAACAATTTCGATTAATGAAAAAACATAACTTCGCAAGAAAAATGTATAGAAAATCTTAGGCAAATTTGAAACTAATAAAACAAGAAAACAGGTTGGAAACGAAATTAACGTAATTGTTTTTAACGAGAAAATACTGTTTGCAATGATAGCAAAAGTACTTTTTGATCATCTGCACCTCTACAAAAGTCGCCAAATCATTGGGCGAAACATTTGTTTGGTTATCATTACCGCTCATAGATACTATTCTGTTCATAAATTCTAGTAAAAAGAAGCATTTTATAAGAAACAAGAAATTTTATGACAAAGGGGGGGACTGTGTGACCGATATTTAAATTTTTGCAGCCGAATGACAATGAATATTCAGCGAAAAGACGATTAAATATAAAATGTGTACATCCGCGTAAATTCAAACACGTGTGCGGTACGCGCATGCGTGGGTTGGCTGTCGCGCGTACATTCGAAAATACGGTAAGAGGTGGGCAATTTTACCGATTGTTGAAACAGGGAATACATATAATCAGAAAGTTCCATAACAAGAAACAGTTTTTGAAGTTTTAAGTATAATGTAATGGAGAAAATATTTTATCAATAGCAATTTTAAAGTAATAATAATAATGACCAGAAAAAATACCGGTCAATCTTACTATTATTCAAAATAAATATAAAAAAGGAGAGTGCGCTAAATAAAACCAAGATCCATATTGATTCTTAAACAGTAATGGAGCATTTAATACTTATTCATTAACTAATTTGCAAACTTTCTTACTATTTCATCTACCCTAAAATAGCTTTTAATTCTTTTGTACAAATTACCGGAAGACATTTATTATGTACAAAGAAAGCGAATTTAAACCGGTATGTAATAACAACTTCATCACTTCTGAACCCGTCGATATTAACTTAATTTCTAGATATCAGTTTAACAAAACTCCAAGTTGGAAAACAAAAATCACGATACAGAGTCATTAGTTCTTCTTCTTTTTCTTTTCTTTTCTTTTTTTTAAAGGTAAAAAATTGAAGAAATCCGCAATGCAATCGTCGAGACTCGAACCTGGATCTCTCGAATACTATACTTCCAATTACGAGTATACTTCCAATTACACCACGAAGGCATGCGGAAAGAAGGAGAAAATATAACTACGCAGCAGAGATCTTACGAATTCTTATTTTCTTTTTTCTTTCCTTTGACAACATAATTTGTTTTCTAATACTGACAGAAAAAATAAATGAAAATTAAACAAAGAAATCTGTAAAAAGAGAGAAAAATAAGTCTATGAAACATTTTTATAAAAAATAATAATAAATAAGAGAAGAATACCTTTTGGGATGTATCACGGCATTTTATTTTAGGTAGAAACCAAAGGCTTATAAAAGCATTTACATAAAGTCCGCATTAAAGTAGAATTTCATTCGATGACAAAATTAAAAAGCGCACACTTCACTTGTACTCTCGGCAATTCGAATGTTCACTGGTCGAAATGAAGCACCGACTTTTAAAACTTTAACGTGGTTTTAATTTCGCTTAGGTGCTACATAGCGAAAGACGAAATAACATTAACCTGAAATTAAGCAATCAAAAACTCAAACAGATTCTTAGGAACAATTCATAGGGAAAAAAATTGTCTTCTTCCCATACATAGCATAAATACAGCAAATAATATCTTGATAATGAACTAATAAGTTACACCTACTAAATCCATAAGCTATCTCTGTACTTCATAAGCCATATTAAATATACACCAGGAAATTCTTCTCTTCAAATTTTTGCTTTTAAGAGCTTATATAAAAACAGCCTAACTTAAAAACGAGAGGAAAAATATTTAACTTTTTAAAAAATGCTCTCTCTCCATTATAAAAGTAAATACTCGGAAGTATTTCAGCAACAGATACTTAGTTACCCATCACAAAAAGTTCAATACTTACGGAAGAAAATATAACTCAATCTTATTCCCCACACACATTACAAAGGTTGAATTTTTCCGGACAAATATAAAACTACACAGACGCCACCGTAGTAAAGTTGATCGTCCACCCTATCTCTACCTCCCCTAGAAAAGCAAGCGCAGAATGGAACACATTAGCGTAACCCAAACCGCTGGGCAAACTGTGAAAGAAGGGGGGGGGAGAAGAATTCCAAATTTCTTGAAACCCAAGCCAGACGTATAGTTACGCCATGCAGGCGCCGAATGACGCTTCCATCGCCCTATTAAATATCGCAAGCTCCCTCATCCTCGGGATTTCTATCGGATCTTGGGGCTCACCCCTTGTTAGCCAATCTATTTGGGCGTGTTTGGTTGCCAAGGGATACGGACGATCAGGAACCTCTACTTCCCATCCGACAAGAGCAGCTTATTTTAGCTTCATATTTTTCTAATTTTTTTTTTTTTCGAATATACATATAGGCGTGTTCGCAAGCGCCCGTGTAAAGGCATGCGACCCGTTAATTATAATGTATTAAAATATTATCGGTATATTAAGCCGGTGATAAATAAGTTTATATTGAGAGTTTTTTTTTTTTTTTTTTATTTTTGTTATTTTCAATGACGCATATAGGGGAATCGTTTATCAATATCCAT